AGTGAAGATTGTGCTTTTGTTGCTGTTCTTTCTTTTCTTTTGTAAATGAATGTAAAATGATGAAAAACCGCCTGTGCAGCCACGAGAAATCTTCAGACTGAAGTCCTCTGGGGGACGTCACTGGGTCCCCCGCAGCGCTCTGGTCAGCGGTCGAAGAAAGAGGTCAGAGGTCAGAGGTTTTAAAGATGCATTTAGAAAGAAAGAAAGAAGAAGGTCTGATCTTTTTCTGCACTATTTGACCCACATCTGCTCTCAGCAGCCTCACACTGGGTTCCTACACAGGTCTTTGGAGCAGCCTTTTAAATTGTTGAGGGTTTTCACTGTTGTTTCCATTTCTATAAGTCCGCACATGCAGGAAGTCCTCACTGTCCCACCTGTTGCACACTCACACCTCTTCCCGACTCATCATTGAGTACGGAAGAGGATCGGAAATATAAAAAAATCAGGCCTGTTTCCGCATAATACTGTGAAAAAGGCTATTTGGACTCTTTATCGTCAACATGGCAAACTTGACAATTATCTTTTTTGTCATAATTCCCCCAATTTTAAACTTAAACCTCAGAAACCTTTTAACAAAGTCAGATTTTATGAATTTATCCTCTTCCATACTTGTGCAGACACTTCTCTGTTAACTTTTCCTCCATCTGTCTTAAACTGAAGTGTCCTCCTGCTGTATTTGCTGCACAGACTTTGCCTGACAGTAATCTTAATTTGTTAAAAATGGCAGCCACGTGAAAGACGCCCTGCCTTAAACTGAGATGAGCTTTTACTACAAGTTTTACGGTATCTACAAAAAGTCTTGAATCAGAGATGTTCCCTCTTGGACCTCCCACACAGGTTTTTTCATTTATTTATTTCGAGTCTTTGGTGTGTGGGAGACCCGCTGATACCATCGCTACTGTCCTGTAATGAAATCTAAAACGTTGAACTAAAGCTTCGATTTGTACCACGTTATTCTTTATGTATCCTCAGTTCACCCTGAGGAAACCTCCAATCAGCTTTTTTGGTCCTCCAGAGACCCGGTTTAGTCGGCTCCAGCCCCGCCAGGCTCTTAACACATACATTTACACTGCAGCCTCACAGCGGGGGTCCACTGGTCCTGCATGATAGGACCACAGCCAGCCTGCCGCCGCCGCCGCCGCCCCCTCCCTCTTTTCTTTGTGCTCAGATAGAAACTGCGCTGCGGTCTGATCTGAACATATTTCAGTCCTCTAGCTGAACCTCTGTGGTTTTGGAGTCCAGTTTCACTCCTTGGTTTTTCCTGGTGGTTGGATCCGTTTTGGCGGTATCCCAGCTTTAGTAACTCCAGTTGGTGTTGAATTCATTTGTAAGCCCCCCTGTTTTTAGATGTTTACAGACACAGGCGTCTTTCTCATGCTCGTATTACTTTGAAGAATCTTAAATTTACATCTATCAGCCGTTTGAAGCAGCAGAAGGAAAAGCACAAATCAGAACTAAGCATGTTTTTGTCTTATTGGACTTAATATCAGACACATTCACCTGACAGGTCCAGATAAATCGAAGATATTACAAACTAAAAAAGAAAAAAAAAAGTCCTGAGTTGCTTGTAAAGATGAAAAAAAAACTGAGTGTGAGGTTAAAAAAATACTCGTTGAGTTTCTTGAATTAAAACATCATTTTTTTACCCTGTTGGTTGATTTTTTTTACTCATTACAAGCAGCTCAGGTCTCATTTCGTCTTGTAATGTTTTGAAATCAGACCTTTAGCCGGACTCGTCAGGTTGAATGTGGTTAATGAGACAGTTTTTACGAATAAGACAAAAACACTCGCACGGTTTGGAGATGTTGCAGTCTTGTTAGCAGCTTTAATCTTCAGCACGCTTGACTACAAGAGCTTTCCTGGCAGCACATCAGTTTTGATCTTACGTGATACAAGAGCTTGTGAAGTGTTTTATTCTTTTATTTTGGTCCGGCTGGATTCAGAAAGTCCTGCATGGGTGCGTCGTATTAGTTGAATCGAGTGCACCTTTTTGTTCGTGCGTCCCTCACCTTCTAAAAATGACAAATCAAACCTTAAGAGCACAAACAAACCTCTCCTTTGTTTCGCACGAGAGCCCCGCTCGAGCTTTTCCCTGCGCACTGATCCGAAGCTAAAGCGCAGAATTCCTGGAGTCCCCAAAGTTCAGATTTTCCACATGGTTACAGCCTCGGTCGCACGGATACGTGTCGGCTCCTGAGCTCCTCCAAATATCCAAGAGGGGTTGCTGAAGCTTGCAAAGGGAAATGTGTAGGAACCCCGAACACTGTCTGCCTCTGTGCCCACGAAAAAAAAAAAAAGAGAAAACTGTCATTTTTGGTTTTGATTTTTAGAAATAAGCAGCTCCCTCTATATCGCCTCAAACTTTATCGGGTAACTTTACACCGGCTTTATTCCAGCTCCCTAACCTGGACAGAAACATATTTATAAACCGTAATTTAGTAACTGGAGATCTAACGAGTCTAAAACACTTTAACACGACGGTTAACGCTGCAGGATGAGGTCGGTGTAAAATCTGTCGTTACCCTCTTTCTTTCTTTCTGTATCTCTTTGTATAGCGGCATTATATATACTGAGGAAGTAGTTTGTTAATATGTATAATTTAGCAGTTGCTGTTTTCTTTGTAAATAATGAGAAAGTATTGTGAATGATCTTTGTTGAATGGTTTTAAAAAAAATCATTTATGGCGAACCTCTCCAGGCTTTTATAAATGTGACTGCAGTACATAGCATATTTTGTATGTCAGAGCGCAGTGTAAAGACGAACAAGCATTACTAGAAGCTGATGAAACTACGTGTAAAACTTGAGGATACTAGCTAACTGAACTTGTAATTACTGATGTACATAAAAGAATGACAGAACATTTTTGTCTATTATTAAATGTGAAAATCTACCCACCGCTGTTTGCCTTCATAACTTTGTTTGAACCTAAATTTAAACCCCCTGATTTCGGAGCCTCTTTGAATCTTCATGAAGCACCAGAGGGTCGCTGCATCCTAATATGCGCCGCGTCTGCTAAGACGTCTTTCAAGTAAGCGCGGGGAAGTGAAAAAGCCTTTCTTTGAAGGAGTAACAACAAAAACAAGCGCCATGGGCAGCCCCGGGAGAAAACGGCGTTCACCTTACGATGTCTAGTCTTGGAAGAAGTTCAGGGAGTTATTTTAAAACAAAGTGTTATCTGAGGGGCATCAATGTGCTCATAAACACGGCAATCTGCTCAGTGGAAAAGTTTTAATCCGGCTCGAATTTGGCAGTGGGAGAAACTTTAGAGGGGGTCCAAATTGGAAAGGGTTCAGCCTCCAGGAAACAACATTCCTGGAGGTTTTCTCAGCATATTGCTTTTTAAGAAACATCCAGATTGCACCAAAAATAAACGGATTAACTCAAAATATCATGACCATCTTTTACTTTCACAAAGTTGTTTGGAATATTGAATTATCTGATACAGATTTGTGGCCAAATACAAAGCAGAAACTTCCAGGCATGAGAAATGAAGCTAAAAATGCTAAACTGCAGTTCCTTGAGTGTCCACTTGGGGCTGGCTCCAAAAGTCCAGAAGCCACATACACACGCATTCAAAAGAGTCTGCCTTTCCACCAATGATAAGCAGAAGAAAAAACATATAATGCTATCAAACTACAGCAGGTGGCGACATGCTCCATTTTCTTAGTGTTATTAGTGGGTCGTTCTGGTTGATCTATTACGTATCAAAACGTGTTAGCAAAGGGCTAACAATGAAAACACTGTCACAGTTAGTCATGTTCCTTTTGTTTATACGATAGTAAACTTAAGTCTTTTAATTTTTTGTCTGTCGTGGTTTTGTTTGCAGTATGATTCAGCTTCCTTGCAGCTCATTTGTGTTAATTAGCAGGTCTGGTTGAATTGGATAAACGTCACAGAGAAATCCTCAACGGCATCATCCAGGTAAGCTATGAATGTTTGCTCCCCATTCATGTTTCTTTCTGTTTCTGTCTATCTTTCTTTATTGCTTTTCTCTACTTCTTACATTGTCTTTCTTTTTTTTTTGCTCCTTTTTTTCTTTTTGTTTACCCTTTTCTTTTCCTGCATTTGTGTTTCTTTGTCCCTTTTTTCTTTTTCTTTGTTCTGCCATCCTTTTATTTTCCTTTTCCTCGTTTTTTCTCTCTACTGTCTTTTTTTACTTACCATTTTTTTGTTTTTCATTTTTTGTTTCTGTTCAGTTCTTTGCTTGTTTTTTCTCTATTTGTTTTTGTCTATTTTGTGTTATTGATATTTTTCGTTTCTTAAATTATTTTGTTCTTTTTTGTTTTTCATGTGACTTCTTTATTTATTTATTTTTTTTGTTCTTCTTTTCACTTTTTCCCTGAAATGTCCGGTCTTCCTTAATTTGACTTTCTTTCTTTCTTTCTTTCTTTCTTTCTTTCTTTCTTTCTTTCTTTCTTTCTTTCTTTCTTTCTTTCTTCCTTCCTTCCTTCCTTCCTTCCTTCCTTCTTTCTTTCTTTCTTTCTCCATCTCTTTCTTTCTTTCTTTCTTTCTTTTTTTCTTTCTGTTTGTCCCATTTCCTTCCCAGACTCTCTCATCTTTCTCTTTTTCTTCTGTTGAATTTTTCTCTTTTTCTTTCTCTCTATCTCCTGCCCTGTCCTCTGTCTCTGATCCTTTTCTTTCTTATTTATTCACTGCTTTGTTCTCTTGCCTTCTGTCTTTTTCTCTCTTTCTTTTTTCGGCTTTGGCCTCTATCTCTGATTCTCTTCTTTCTTTATTCACTGCTTTCTTCTCTTGCCATCTCTCTCTCTCTTCCTCTCTCTCTCTTCTTGTCTCTAATCACTTTAGCTCTCCTCCCACCTCCCTTACTCCGTCTCTTTTTTTTCAGTATCATTTTTTCACTCTCATTTACACTCCGTCATTTTTCCTCCCTCTTTCCTCCATCAATCTTCCTCCCCCACACTCCTCCCTCCCTCTCCTCCTTTTTGTTTCTGTCTCTCCCTCTCCTCACCGTCATTTCTGACCCTGTTTTCTCTCCCTCCCTCCTCGCCTCAGGAGCTGCTGTTTGCTGTAAACAGATGATTAGGTGCTGCCCTTTGATTCCGAGTCTTTGACTAAATCCATCCTGATCATCCTGACAGCCGCTCTCTGCTGCTCTGTAGCAGTCGGCTGATAATGAGCCTCTTATTTTCATTTTTTTACTCCCTCACATTATGCTGTTTCTCAAACCATCCTCCCCCCTGCCTCCCTCCTCTTCATCCTGTGAGTCTAAATCCAGAGTAAGCAGAGTGTTTGCAGACTTTACATGCGTTCGCCCGTCTCCAGGTCGTCTTTATTGCGTTCACCCAAACAGCCTAATAAAATTATCTCCCTTCAGCTTTGACTCGGTCGTTTTTATATTCTGCAGAGCTGTCAGGGGCAATAACATCTGGAAAAAACTTCCCCCATCACACCCTAAATTTGCTGAACAAAGGTTACACGATGAAATGTAATTCTCAGAAATGCTGCACTCGTGTTTTCTTGTCGCAGACGTTTTCTTTTTTGCTTCCTCCTCTCTCATCTTGCTGACAGCATTAGAGACATTATCACAATTAGTAAACATTTCTCAGAGGAGCTGCTACCATCTATCCGCCCCCGCTCCAATCCTGTACACTGAGCTGTCACACTTAGACTTATTGTGCTGTTTTTCTCTTCAGCACTTGTAATATTTCACTCAAAAATATCTGCGGTAAATCCAAAGTAGGACAGGAAACCTGGCTGCTGAGATGTTACGGGCACTTCAAATTAAAACCAGGTGTCATCCAGAATTATAGTTCTCATCCAGGTTGATTCTTTTAATGTGAAGGAGCTGCTATTTGTCAGCAGGGCATCATAATTTTCACACAAAGCTGAACTCTTTCTGGTTTTTGAGAGTTGACAGAATAATCCCATCACAGACTCTTCACTCATATGGCCTGATCTACCACAGCAGATGGAGTTTATCTGTTTATCCCTAAAGCACATTTCAGCATGTCGGCTGGAGATGACGTCCAGAGTTGATTCTGAGGATACAACACAGAACTGTATGATATACAACCCAATACAATCAGACACAACTTAATATATATATGATAACAAACAGCAGTGACACAATACAATATGATAAATATCATACAATACAATATGATACGGTATGATAGGATACACAATCCTATACATCACATTGAAATACAATATGCTTTCATGCAGAAGGACACAATATAATAGCATATGACTCAAAACCACACAAACAATACAACACAATGTAATGTTTCAGACTGAAATGTGTAAGTGGAATGTGCAACTTCAGAATGACTTCTTTTAGGATTCACAATGAAGATGAAACATGTAAATATACATTAAGAATCAATAAATCAATACAGCTTAATATGAGATGACACTATACAATGACACAACATGATATGATATATACTATGACATGATATGGCAATTTGACCTAACATACAGCATGACAGATGAAATGAGATGATATAACATGACATTTAATATAATATATATGACATATGACATGACATATATGATATAACAACATGACATATGATGTATGGCATGATATAATATGACATGATGACATGATAGATGACATGACATATGACATAATATATATGATATAACAACATGACATTACATATTATCTGATATATGACACGATATGACGTGATATGTGACACAAAATGTGACATAACATGACATGACATAATATGACAAAACATGACATGAGATTATATGGCATAAGATATAACATGATGACATGATATAATATGAAATAACATGACATATGACACATTACTGTATATGGCATGAGATATGATATATGATATAACAACATGACATGACCAAAACAAAATGACATGATGTATGATATAACATGACGATATGACATATGACTTGATATATGATATGATATGAAATGAAATGATATATGATATGACACAATTTGATACAAAACTATATTAGTTGTGACAATACAATACGATACAGAACAATAAAAGCAGACACAACATGGTTTGATATGTAGGATATGTTTGTATACAACACATTACAATAAGACATGATATGATAAGATATGATACAATACCAACCTGATACTATACTGGACAATACGACATGAAATGATATAAAATGATACAACACAGTATGAGATGATACAAAGTGGCCCAGTACACCATATAAAAAGATTCAAAATGACACGATAGGAAATGACACAAAAAGAGTTGCTTCTATGTGTTATGATATGATATGATATGATACAATACGACATGACGTGACGTGACGTGATATGATATGATATGATATGAGTGGGCACAATATAATGAGATGATTTACGATACATGATATGAAACAGTTCATACAGGTTGGTTAATACAGTACGATCCAATACTGTACTAAAACCACCAAACCTTTAAACTACCCACCTGACAATCATCCACAGCCCACCCTGCACGCCTGTGTGGGGTAACTGTGGCTCAGTCTTCATCCAGAAAGTGTTTCCTTTTCATCCTGTCAGTCTGTTTCTCCTCCTGCCAAGAAACATGAAGGTATGACGACAAGGTAAGCCAATGTAACACACACAAAGCTTTCCAGTTCATGCAACGGCCTGTTTATTGTGCTGAGAGCGGGAACCAGCTGCTCGCATCAGTCACGCTCTTGTTTGTTCTATAATGACATTTTTACTTTGAACTTAATGCAGTTAAAGGTGGAGGAGGATCTGATGGACGCTGCAGAATGACTATTAAACTTTACTGCTCATTGGCTTTGTGCCGCTCAGCGTATTTCACGCACACTTTTATTTCATGCATGAGAAAAACTGCTTTTTTTTCCTGTTGCTGTGTTGTTATCTTTAAAGGCCCAATTATATTTTCTGAACATGTTTAAGTTTTTCTTTTTTTTTCAGATTAGCTGCAGTTTGTGTTGCAGAAAAGAAACTGTTGACCAATCAGAGGCTGCGTCTGATCAGCTGACTCTAATGGTCAGGTAAGAACTGTTTTGTATTGATTTATCCACTTTAGTTTGTAAGCTAGTTCATCGTAATTGACTTTAAAGCTCCTGTGAGGAGTTTTTGACATTTATAAAATAGACTGAAAACAAATATCGATAACCTTTTATGATATCTGAAAGCAAACAAGACTACCAGAGAGAACTTTTAACGCGAGGGGGTAGGTTTCAGGCGATTAGTGGAAAAAACAGTTTAACTTTTAAAATTCACACATAAAATATTTAAAATAAACAAAAAAATTAATGGTCAGAAGTCACAATCCAAGCATGTAGAAGACAAGATAAGCAAAAACTGTTTTGTCCACAGGGGGCGCCAAAGTTGACACAAACCAAAAGTCCCTTACAGGACCTTTAAGTAACACAAATGTGTACAATGATTTGGAAACTGTACAATGTAAATTTACTTTTACTTCTCCATGAGTAATTTTCTTTTCACCCACCTCTGCTCGTGTCCTTGTGAACGCAGTCACCGTTAGAGGTGACGATGTGAAAACAAAAACTGTTAAAAGCTGAACCAAACTTTTAAAAACTTCCTGAAAGTCGTCTCCAACTCCACATCAGAAGTTTGAGCTCAGTGTTCGTTCTGGACTCGGCTTCCAGCTGCTGGTCAGACTTTGAGCCTTTCATGAGCAGCATCTGCAGCTGAGGAGCCAACGGCGTCAGAATGTGGGACAGCAGGGGGGCTGTCCCACATAGCTGTTGACCCAAAACACTGAGAAGGGAACCGAGTGCAGCAGACACATATAAAACACTTAATGAGAGAATGAAATTCAATTAATTAACTGAAGACTCAGGTTTTTAAATCACTCCAGGTGTCTTTAAGGTAACCTCCTAGTGTTCTGGGCTCACATACATTATGTCCTTCTCTTTCTAGTTCTGTTTTCTCTGTTTTTACGTCTGCTGACTCTCAAACAGGCCCTGGCTCTATAGCCTTAAGGTACACAGTAGGTTAGAAGACACAGGTATTTGGACTAGCTTTGTTTACACCAGGGGTCTCATTTATTGAAGTTTAAGGTGCTCAAGTTTCTGCTTTAAGTCGAGCTTTGGAAAGTTTCTAAAAAGGAGAAAGTTTGGAGGAAGTCTTTTGTAATTTTATGGACATCATATTTCTGGTGATGAAGAATCTATAGATCACGGCCTGTGTCTGATGAAAAATGGATTTCCTCTCCTCATAAAGGGGGAGTACATCCTTAAACCCAGAGGTAAAGATGATCAGGGAAAGAAGGTCAGAGTTTCATGGCTCAGATCGGCCCAGTTTAGTTCACAGGAGTTAACTAGTCCAGGACCCGAGGGAGGACAGTTTAGCGATGGCGCTACAACACGCTACAGCAGGTCCGTTTGACAAGAAACACTTCTGTTACAGACACTTGTCTTACTTTGTTGAAGCGGTTTACCTGTCCAGCAGAAAGGTTACAGGGTCCGTAAGATCCCGAAGCGTCCCCCATCATTGTTGACACGGCTTTTTAGCTCTTGTCCGGTCTACCTCCTTTTTAAGCGCCCGTTATTCCACCAGAGTCTCCGGTATTTACTTTGTTTTCTTGCTTGTGTCGGCAGTCGTGGCCAAAGGAGGATTCAGATGATTTTCCGAACGTTCTGGTTGGTTTCTACTGTCCGATATTGTAGCACGCTAACTTTGTTTGGGCTCCTGAACGACACAGGGGAGTAACGTCTGCCTCACAACCAATCAGGTCGTAGAGGTGGAGAACGGCTTTGTTTACAGTCCGAAAAAGAGCGGGCCGCTTAAAAATGTTAAATGTTGACTACACACACATAACAGAACACAGCGATATCATTATATTCCCAAATGTGATCAAAAACTAATAAATATTGACTGATATTAAAAGCCTTTTTGTGAATACACCACAAATAAAAGATGCTTCTTTAACGGATTCCTACCTAACCCACGTTGAAGTGCTTCTCCATATTAAATACATTAGGTTATATCATGACGCATGATTTACTGACTGCATTCATAAACTTAAACACTTTAATTATGTTTTAAAATAGTTCTTTGTCATGTTTTTATGTAGATATTTTCTCAAAACTGTAAATCTGTGCTTTTATTTTGAAAGAAACAAAAGTTCAAGTGGATCATGAGTTACATAACCAAGTTTAGATGTTAGGTTAGTTGGTGACTTGAACAGTGAACCTTTAGATGTTAGTGTTTGAAAGTGCTGAGTCATTTTCTTAAAGAGCAGCTTCTCTCCTCTGATTCATGACGTTTACAGCTTCTTTAATTTTTTCATAACTTAAAGCTCTTTAATTTGATAAACAGCCTCATAAATTTAACGACCCGCTCCAGTCAGACAACAGCGTTTAACACTCCCTTGATATCGCCATCATTAGCCTTTGTGTTCGTATATGTAAAAGCTTTAATTGGATGTTTTTTAAGTTAGTAAGAGATTAAGAGAATTTGAAAAGAAGAAACACCTCTCAGTACCGCTGTGAGTATGACGAAAAATGCTCGAAAAACAGCGTTGGAGCTTTAATTAAAACAAAGCTGCACTCCTGTCTGATTTTCTGCAGCTTTGTCGCTGCTGGGTGTGTTTTATTGTTTCATGCTGCGCCTAACTACCATCTTAAATCCTGTGTTTTTAAAAAAAGCCTTTCTTGGTTTAGGCGCTGTAAATTACTCTCTCATAAAGACGATCAAACTTGCACCAGATGTTTGTCTTATAGTTTGTAAGACTGATCAAATCACTTATTTTGAGTGATGCTTCAGGCTCTTCAAAGTAAATCTCAAGATTAAACTTAAGTGAGGTTTTAAAAAATAAGACCAGAAGACGCTCCAAAGAAAAACTTCAATTATCTTTATTGTATTTGGATGGCAGCAGAATGATATCTTAAAACTTGGGCAAATGAAACCAAACATATCTGCATAACTGTGATTTGAGTGTAATGTCCCTTTAAGACAGCCGTTCTTGTGTGGAGTCATTTTTAAGGTCCGTGTTTGAAGAGTTTCCCTCCGTCTTGTGACGCCTGGCTGTTATGACGATACTATGAGCGACTTTCAGGAGCGGGTTTTACGCCCGACTTGAATCAGAATGTGTCATTTTCAACCACGGCGACACGCTTTCCCTCTTTGTGTGAAATTTAGCGTAAAGTGTGTATCACTAAATAACACGTCATTAAAACTAATCGGCTTTTCTCCGCCATTGGTAAAAGTGAAGATGACACACTCCTTCATGTGGGAGCGTTTGCTGCAAACCAACCTCGGGTTTTTTCCAATCTTAACACTTCCCACCTTCTTCTCACTGCATATTGCAAAAAATCCTCTGATGTGCCGAGTGAAGAGTCCCAGCAGGTGGCGGGCCATCACGGGTCACCACCTTCATCTCTCAAGTCTCTGTACAGACGAATACATCCATCAAATCCTGCGCCGTCTGCTTCCCGCCGGCCCTCCCTTCGACAGCGAAGCACGATTGGTCACAAACTTCTCGATAAATATCTGTTTTCTGTCCAGGTACATTTAGAAAATATAAACTTGTCTCCATCTCTTGTTGCTTCACCGAAAAAAACCCCACAAAGTTTTTCTTTTTTATACATTTCTGAAGAGAAACAATGAAATGTGGTCAGGCCCTCACACTTAAAGCTGAATGGATGAAGATATGAAGAGTCCTCTTCCAAAGTGCTCTTTACAAAACGAGTCGTAGCATCAAAATTAAAACTAATTTCAACACCTGTGAAGACTAAAGCGCAATTTAGGTTCTTATCTAAGAAAATAAAACAACTTTACAGACGTCTGAGGGTCGATTTAACGTTAAATTTCAATAAACAACTGAAGTTTCTTTTATATATAGAGTGTATAATCTGTATTTGGAAATGAACTCTTCATCCAGTCACTTAAAAGACAACAGCAAACAGTCAAAAGATTTCATCGTGATCCGACTCGGTTATAATGTGTGCTTGTATCTAACATTCTGCGTAACAAAATCATCAAAATGTGGCATCAACTGAAAGAGCGAAGCGCTGCATGTGGACGAACACACACGAATCCACCTTAAATCTTGTGTAACACTTCATCACAGTTCATCTGAGAGAAAAGTCTTAACATTTAATAATTTTCTTTTACATCAAGGAATGTTCAGGAACAAAAAAAAAACATTTTTTGTTTGTTTTATTTATTTTTTTTCATCGTTTCTTCCGCTGCAGCCTCAGTGTCTCTTCACTGTACACCTTCGTTCGGGTCCTTCTCCGGAGCTTGGCGTTCAGATGAGTAAAGTCTGCGTGAGTGTGGCGTTGAACGGTTCGTGTTCGGGCAGACGTGAAGCGGGACATGAGGTGTGTACTTCTGTTTTTTTTTCCCACCCTGCGGCGCGGTAGCAGCACCCTCTCTGGGCGTCTTCTCAAGGGCGTGAGCTGTACAACACATCTGCTCGGAGTCATGATTCACAAAAAGAGAAAAAGAGTGATTTTATGAGGGGACGGGGCAGGACAGATTTGCCCCCTTCCCCCTTTTTTTGACACGTAGAAATGGCTCTTTCTTTCTCTCGCTCTCGCACCCACCCAACCCTCCCTCCCCTCAGGTTCTAAAGTTTTGTCCATGGAGGCCAGGTGAGCGAGGCCTCTTATTGGTCGGAGAGCAGCAGCAGGAGCAGGAAACTGAGGCCCAGCAGCAGCAGCAGAGAGGACAGGCGGGCGGGGTCGGCGCTGCGGTCTGGCAGGTCCGGAGAGGGGAGGGTGGAGTCTTCCTCGTCGCCCCACAATCTGTCGTTCTCGTTTCCCTGAAACAAAACACAAGAAAGAGTCTCAATTTAAACCAAAAACAGACGTTTGCTGAAAGGGATGGGAACCGAAAACTGGTTCCAGATCAGAACCAGTTCATTGACTTGTTGTTTAATAGTTCCAGTTAGAAGATGATGATGTGACGTATTTCTAAAGACGGAGTTTGATCCAAAACACTGTTGTATGTGAACTAATATGAGTTAAAACTTACTGTAAAATCTACTAGCTTTGTGAGACCGGCAGATTCACGCTGATAAACTTCTGTGACATTTTGAGGCTTTTCTTTTGCACAGAGAAGATCAGAGTATTTTCACTTATGAGAAGCTGCAATCTACAGTCAGCTGACCCTTAAATGCCCAATCAGAAACCAGGCTTTCCCCCGCAACCAGAGCGACGAATGTGATAAAAATGAGAATAAAACTGCTGATGCGTAAAACCAACACAGTCCTACACAAACTCATATTTATACCAATGTCCTGGAATTCTTGCCCACAACTCATACTGTGAAAATTTAGACACTTTATAAAATGTAAACTTCATATCTGTTTAAAACTAAAGCAAAAACAATTTTCAGAGCCACATTTTTTATGATTTTTATAGAACTAGATGCTTATTTTTAATTAAATTTTAATAACCTGTTTCAAAAAGGTCGTAACAGGAGCATGTTTACTGTTATTTTGCATCTTTTTGCAATTTTTGCAATTTCTGGAGTTTCAAAAATGATTTTTCTCCCTATTTTTGCTAAAGGATTTTCAGTTTAGGAGGTCATTTAATTAACCTCTGAATTTGGGGGTTTTGTCATCTACTGACTATAAATCATGAAAAGATTTTTGGAGAGCACAGCTTTGAAAACAGTGATGGCTCTGGAGTGGAAATCCTGCATGGGCTCAGTGTCTTTGTTGTTGCATTCACAAATCCAATCCAATCCAATCTGCTTTATTTATACAGCAAATTTAAAAAAAAACATTCAAGTTTACCAAAGTGCTGCACAATAAAATAAAAAAAAACAGACACTACAGGAAATATCAAGATGAAATAAATAAAAGCAGGTAAAAAAAACATTTAAAGTGAAATAAAATAAATGAAATAAAAGTGATAAAAGGACAGAGATCACACAACTCTCATGTTGAGCTAAAAGTTAAAGAATAAAAATGAGTTTAAGACGTGATTTAAAAGTAGAGAGAGTGGGGGATGTTTTGATCTCGAGTGGCAATTCATTCCACTATTTCCTCAAATTCATGTTCTTGTACCATACGAAGAAGAAACTGTATATAAATACAACCTAGAGATGCTGGTGACTTGACAAACATCTAAAATTTGAGCTTCATACATTTATTTAAAGAATACAGGACAGCATATTACTATCACTTTAACCCTAAAACATCAGTATATTCAGAATCTTTGACACCAGCAGATTTTACGTCGTTCTGATCGTCTGTGAAATCCTCTCAGCCAGATTTTGCCCGATTTAGATATTTGTAAAAACTCAAGCTGGAAAACTTTCTGAACTGGTGTTGGGAACAGAAACAAACGCCAGAGAAAATATGACACGAGCTGGCAGCTTCGTCTGGTTGCTGGCTAGGTGAAAATTGGATTGAAAATAATCTGTGATATATTACCAGGGTGAAAATTGGATTTTAAAATGCCAGAACACCATTTTTCTTTTTTATAATGTTAACTTCTACCTCAGGGGACTCCGATTCTTGTGGGAAGATTATCTTTGTAAGAAACAGAAATTGAAATAGAGTTTCAAAAAAGTAGAAAAGTAGAGGAACAGTTGGATGAAAAACTTAAGATGGAAATTACCTTTATAGATTTCACAGATTTGTTGAAAATTTTGAAACGGTGGCAGTAAATTTATCGCTGTTCTTGACCATCCAGACTCACCGAGCAGAAAGCAGTGCATGTGTTAATTACATTAGTGTTAAATGAAGTGAGAGTGACAGTCATTTGAACGTGATAGGATACTGGTACGTGTGATGATATGACAGCTGTCCAGATCTCATTTACAGCTTTAATTAACTCAGACCCGAGTCGACGCGCTAACACTTCATCTGGTCCCGGCCTCACACCGCACTGTCAGGTAAAGAGACGTCCTTCCTCTGTTTACTTTAACTCCGTGTCAGAACGCTCCTGCAGTCAGACGGTGATAAAAAGTCTGCTGGAACAATCATGCGTGGGTCGAGGCTTTCAGGAGACCCGAGGCAAGAATACATAATTTGGGCTTTTGGTCCTTTTCTTCAGCTCTCCCCGTGGAAATCAGAAAGTGGCCTAGTTATACGTTTAGCCGGTGAAGTTTATTTCTATCTGTTGGCACTCTGTCAATAATGTGAGCTGAGACATTTATCTTCTGGTTCCCATTGTGAGAAAAACACACGGGCCACAACGTCTTCCATGTATTATTCATTAATTTGCCCTCATTGCTAATATATGTATGTTTACGTGCAAAAAAAAAGGCCGTGCAGCAGAGTTTAATTGTGTTTACCTTACTAGCTCATTGTGTAAGCCACATTAATGATGTTTACAGAGCCTGTGTTTACTGATGAATTAGCAGATATGAGTATGTGACTGTTCAAGTGTGCAGGGACGTGGGAACATCACCCAGAGTAACCACGAACACGCTGACATCTCTGCCACAGCCTTCGTTAAAGAAGATTAGGCCTGTTTAAAAGTGCAGTTCCATGAGTGTCCACTGGAGGCTGGCTGCAAAAGTCTTTAAAGTCCCATTGACACCCATGCATTTTTTGGTTAAATGAGTTTGCATTCAGCAATGTGCGTTTTTCATGTAGCTCCTTTAGCACCACCTGTTAAAGTCCCCCTGCACCATAGTTACGTACAACCGTTAGTGGCATTGGTATATGAGAGGTGTAGAGGGGTGCACTCAAAGAGGTTTGCGCCGTCTCCCTCTGTTGGTCACTCACTTGTGATACATTAAAGTGAAATAATTGTGCAAATAGATACTGTTTAGTTAACCCTAGGTGTAGTCAGGGTTAGGTTCCTGGTCTGTTCCCCTTTTACACATTTCAAATACTCAACTGTGATTGGCACTTTGCTTTATAAGAGACTGGATATGGTAAAATCAACTATTTGGAGTGTTTGTAGTTTATTTTGTAAATAATTTAGCTCATTTTCTTTTGTTGGTGCTTTTAATTTTAGAAAAATAATTCAAACATCCATTTCACAAGCATATGGGAGATGGACTCGTCAAGAACCTGACTGCTTTTTAGTGCTCACATAAGAAAATTCACCTGTTTAGTACTCTGGTGTTAGTTTTATTTTTTTTTAGCATATATTGTTGGTGGAGAAAGAAAAAGAGGGTTAATTTAAGTTTCTATGCTGTAAGGCCCCCCTGCAAAACTCAGGGTACCAACTGGGCGCCCCGAGTCAAATAAATCTGGGCACACCCCTGGGCAGGAATGACTTAGTGGAAAAGTTCAGCCCATTGGAGGTGGAGGTTTAAGGCCTGCCTAAGCTCCGCCTCTTTGCTAATTCAGATTGAGTCAGGGTTTGGGCGTTATAAGGCTTCTTTAAAAACAAGTCTACAGTGTCTGTTTGCTTCTGCGGATCTCCATATTTAATCCTCCTTCTTCTTTCCTTTCTGTTTTCATGTTTATTATAAGTAAATTGAACTCCTCGGTTAATAAGCACATGTTTACATTTGCGATCCTGCAGAAAACAACATTTATATGGAACTGTGCCATCCGTTATTTTCTCATACTTCCTCCTCCCATATTTTCCCCTCCAGTAATGTTGGGCTAATATATTCAAACGATCAATAACATAAACTTATAAAGCACAAGTTTGTTTACATCCACTTTAGCTGCTTGTTAATTTAATCGTCTAAACTCTGTTATTCTCATTATGTTGTTTGTTTTATGCTCCACTTTCTGTTCTGATTCCTCTTCCTGCCGCACACGTCTAATGATCCCTCTGGGATCAATAACGTTACATCCAATCCTAAAGCTTCAAAGCTTCCTTCATTCACTCGCATTCAATAGGTTAGCCTATAGAGCGCAGCAGAGCCTGACCAATGCAGCTCATTCCAGCTTTTAATGTAAACTGGCACAAATACTAACCGGAGTACTAATAACCTGTTTACCTGATTTGACCCGGGAAGAGACTTTTACTGCCCTGAAGCTTCTTTTTCTCTTTCGCTTCATAAAGGTTCGCTTTTAATTATCTGGACTTTTAGCTCAACTTTGTGGCTCAATACTTCAGTTTCTTTCTTTCAGACAAATTCAGTTTTATCAGATAACACTTTTAATTTCAAACCCTTATTTCAGCACTTTTTAATCTAACTTCTCCTTTTCTCTGTCTTCTTTTATTCATTTTTTTTTCTTCCTTGTTTCACATCTGTTTGGTGTTTTTTTAAAGCGCTTTAACCCTCCTCCCGTGTTAGGGTCTGCACCGACCAGTTTTTGTTTTTAAATGCTTAAAAAAACACATAAATTAGCTTTTTTTGCACCAAGACTTTTTGACTTTGTCAGGAACTTCTATTTCAACAAATAAAAATAAGAATAAAATTGACTAAATTATAAAATGCTCTTATCAAACTTATGGCACTTGTCGTGTTTGGGTCGCTGTTGACCCGGTTAGATCAATATCTAATAATTAGAGTAAAAACTAAAATCATAAGTGAACTGCCAGGCATCACACTGACAGTCAGATCCTCTTCCGATCATGTGAGATTTAGGAAATTCTTATTTTGCCATGTTCTTTCCAGACATATGAGAACAAGATTCAGTATTGATGTCTGTATGAGGAGTATACAGACAAAGAAAGGATATATTTTCATGGATAATGAAGCCTAACAAGGTAACCAAGAGATTAGAACAAAATTGGATGATAGAGAATTGTTTTAGTGTATTTTGCAGCTGATTTAAGACACGGGTCAAAACCGACCCTTAACATAGTGGGTGCGTAGTAAAAGCTAACACAGGAGGAAGGTTAAACACTTGGCACGATGATAGCGAATTCACAATGGTAAATTAAAGTCTGATAAAACAACGCCTGGATCAAGAGGAAAGCCTTTTACCGGCTCATCCCCTCAGGACTGTGAACGACACGGTAACAGCAGCTCCACCTCTGAGCAGCTGACTGTTGATATCTGTGTAAACGGAGCTGATCAGAAACACCAGAGACAGACTGATGATTGGTTAAGCGCTGGAAGTTAGTCCTTGAGGAGGAGGAAGAGGAGGCGTGATATGTTCATCACTGTCGCACATGTCGCGCAGCTGTACAGACTAATTGCGGATGTTAACTCTCGACTGAAACCTTTAATCAGAATAGAAAGTTCTGTGCAAGGAGCAGATACGGCAAAGACAGAGCGTGATGCTTTTGGCTGAGCTCCTGCAGATGAGAATGTTGGTTTGCATTAATGCACCAGGAAAGAAAACATGAATGAAAGTGTAAAACTTAAAGTCGACTGATTCGATTTATCTCCCTTCAAATGAAAAACCGCAAACACCTCCAATCTAGGATTTGCACCCTTCAATACGCTTGTATAAAAACACTTTTTTTGTGTTTCCTTAACTTCTCAGCTTCACTTCTTGATTTTTCTGTGTCTGAGTTTGTACCCGTGGCTGTCTGAATTATGCAGATAATGTTAATCCCACCCGTCTGCTGCGCCCTGCAGTGTAAAACAAACATCCCGAGTTATCAGCAGCAGTGGGATCCAGACTTCTCAGCGCTCCCATCTCTATTGGTTCTGCTCTTTGTTTGCCAAACCGTACAACACATTTCCAGTCTGCCGTCTCGCCTCACCTGTGTAGGTATCTGTGCTCTCAGGATGTTCTGCTCTGTTTCCATGGAAACGCCCGGGGCGGAGGTTGCTGCATGCGGGATTTGGTTGTCCATGGCCGGGCTGGGCATCCCGGGCTGTCCGGCGCCTGTTTTCACATCAGATCCGTTCCCGAAGGCCTGGATGGCGTTTTCTAGAAAGAAAAATGAGAAGTGGGATTTTAAAAGGACGCATCTGACAGTTTAATGGATCCACTCAAGTTCACGTCACTCGAGGGCAAAATGGGAAAACTTTTCACATCAGCCATCACCTCGACTTTCCTATCACAGCGGGCCTCTTTCTAATGTGATTGGTCACTTTATAATTACACGCTGAAGGACAATAATTACAATGTGGTCATGGTATGTGAGGGCAACTCAACCTCTCCGGGTGAGTCATCAGGCGGCTCAGTTCCTGTGTACTTCCTCTGTGGGCTGAAACTTTATTTAAAGCTGCATTAAGTGAGAGTTTTAAGACCGAGATCACTTACTCTGAAACACTCTGGTTTGATTAACCGAGCCACACGTTATTATGAATGCTTGGACTGGTCCAGTGTTAAATCTTTATAACCTCTTACTCTGCAAAGTACATAAAGATGACAATTAGAACTCTTGTGACCGAACAGTTCATCAGTCGGTCAGAACTTTTTCATTCAGTCCTGGAGCTTCAGCTGTTTATCCAGTAGAACTTTTCCAGTCAGCTCAGGTAGACATGTTTCGTAAGTCAGAGCCTGTGTTGTGGAGTCCCCCAGGGTTCTGTCCTGGGCTCTCTGCTGTTTGTCCTGTAAAACTTTTTTCAATCAGTGCTGCTAAATATGTTTTGTCAGGCTGAATCTGTGTTGTGGAGTCCCTAAGGGTTCTGTCCTGGTCCCTCTGCTGTTTCTCCAGTAAAACTATTTCAGCCAGTGCAGGAGAGTGTATTTCATCAGGCTGGGCCTGTGTTGTGGAGTCCCTCAGGGATCCGTCCCGGGACACTGGCTGTTTTCTTTATTTCTGCTACCCCTGGATTTTCATATGATAACTTTTAAAGGTGTCGCTTGTTTGTGTTATGCAGATGACACTCAGATGTCTGTTTTACTTAACTGTATAAAAAATTGATGGTACCCTGAGTTCACTGGTACCAGAAAGAAGTCTTTGTGCATTCAAAAGTTATGGGCAATTGAAAAAATCCCCATTCAAGTGAATGGGATTGTCCAGGGCCGCTACCCTTATAGTAAAATATCATAGTAAATAACGATTAAAATATCAAAGTATAGTGTGATAAAAATGTCATAGAGTAGTACAATAAAATGTCATAATATAGTATGATAAGATCATACTAAAATTTGAAAAACATCATAGTATAGTATGTTAAAAAAATCATAGTTGAGCATCGTAAAAATATCATAGTATAGTAAGATAAAAATGTAATAGTAAAGTATGATAAAAATACTACAGTATACTTTTATATAGTGATATAGTATATTATAATAAAATTATCATATAATACTATGATAAAAAGGTCATAGTAAAGTATGATAAAAATGTCAAAGTATTGCAAGATAAAAATATCAAAGTAAAGTTTGATTAAAAAATATAGTATTGGATTATAAAATATTTATTATAGTACAAAAATATTATTGTAAAGTGTAAAAAAAATTACATTGTGTAGTATGGAAAAAAAATCATGGTATTGTATCATAAAAAATGGCATTGTATAGTTTATTTAAAATACTATAGTATGAAAAAAAACGTTGAGTATGGTATGTTTAAGAAATCATAGTGAAGTAATATGAAAGTATAATTGTATAGCATGATAAAATGTTTAGTGTGATAAAAATGTAGTATGATGAAAATATCAAGGTACAGTTTGATAAAAATGCCATACTGTAATATGAAAAAAAATTAGAGTTAAGTATGTTGAAAGTATAATAGTATAGTGTGCTAAAATATCACAGTATGGTATGAAAAAAAAAAAAAGGACAGTATGAATTATTATTTCATAGATTTGTATGCCAAAAAACTTCATAGTATAGTATGATAAAAATGTCATTGTATAGTATGTCGAAAAATGTCATAGTAAAGTATGACAAAAATGTCATAGTATAGTATGTTGAAAAATGTCATAGTATAGTACGATAAAAACGTCATTGTATAGTATGATTAAAATGTCATATTATAGTATGTCAAAAAAAGTCATAGTAAAGTATGATAAAAATGTTATAGCATAGTATGTCAAAAAATGTCAGTATAGTATGATAAAAATGTTATAGCATAGTATGTCAAAAAATGTCATAGTATAGTATGTCAAAAAATTTTCATAGTATAGTATGATACAATGTCTGAGTGTAGTATGGCAAAAATGTCATGGTATACTTTCTCAAAAAATGTCATAGTATAGTATGATAAAAATGCGATAGTATAGTATGATAAAAATGTCATAGTATAGTATGTTCAAAATGTCATAGAATAATACGTCAAAAAACGTCATAGTATAGTATGATAAAAATGCAATAGTATAGTATGTCAAAAAATGTCAAAGTATAGTATGATAAAATGTCATAGAATGTCAAAAAATGTCAAAGTAGTGTATGATAAAAATGTCATAGTATAGTATGTCAAAAAATGTCGTAGCATAGTTTGAAGAAAATGTCATAGTTTAGTATGTCAAAAATGTCATAGTATAGTATGTTAAATATTTCTTAGTATAGCATGTCAAAAATGTCATAGTATAGTATGATAAAAATGTCATAGTATAGTATGTTAAATATTTCTTAGTATAACTTGTCAAAAATGTCATAGTATAGTATGATAAAAATATCACAGTATAGTATGATAAAAATATAGTATAGTATGATAAAAATGTCATAGTATAGTATGTCAAAAAAACATCATTGTAATGTATGATAGAAATGTCATTGTATAGTATGATAAAAAGTCATAGTAGCCTCATCCAGTTTCAGGGTGTACTACATGCGTGCCTGTTCGCCATGTTTGGTAGTGTCTGTGTGAGTGTGTGTCTGTGAGCGGATGTGATCCCACAGGAACCAGCTGCTGATGGGTAATGGGCCGAGTCTGCATGACCAGTTGGGGAGGAGCGTTACGTTCAAGAGGCTGCGGATTGGAGAACTTTGTGGGCAGACACTCACACTGGAGATTCTAGAGCTAGATTTTTTTGTTAGGAAAATCTGTGTTGACATTTGGTGTGCAGCTGTTTTTTTTTTTTTTTTTTTTTGTATATTTTTTTTCTGGTGGATTGTAAAGGATAGGAGGCTGCTCACTGTGCATTTGTTTTAACTGCTGTGTTTAGTGAATTTGTTGTGTTATTTGTTCTCTTTGTTAATCGCCTAAAACTTATGTTGAACAGCATTTTATTTCCTTCTTCATTTCTTTTGGCAGTTAAATAACATTTTCTACAACACGAAACCACGATAAAAAACATAATAAAAAGCATGATAAAAATATATAATGGTATAGTTTGTTGAAAAATGTCATAGTATAATATGTCAAAAAATGTCAGTATAGTATGTTAAAAAATGTCATGGTAAAGTAAGTTAAAAAATGTAAGTGTATGGTATGATAGAAAACATTGAAGTAGAGTATGATATAAAATGTCAGTGTTTTAAAAATCATCTTTTACTTATCATGTCATCTGTGAGGGTGGTAGAGCGGTGACACTCAAATACCTTTGATACTAGATTTGAGGAGCCATTGGCCTCTGAAAACCATTATAAAAAAGGACCCTCCACACCTGTTTTACATCATTAAGGCTCCCAAAATATGTTGGACTTTGTTGCTACCCTACATGGACTCTCCTTTAGGTCATCAAGATGCAAGAAGAATGTTTGAAATCATGGACAGCATGACATACGTGGACAGTCTCAGACCAGTGTTTGTTGAACTTGTGGCATGATGAAGCTGTACCCCAGATCTTCAACTAGTAAAACTTGTCAAAATGATCATTTGTGTGACCCTTCCATTTTTTTAAAGTATAAACATGGGATAGTGTTCCTTATATAATATATGATAAAATCATGGGATAATATAATAGAATTGTCAAAGTACAGTATGATAAAAATGTCAGTATAGTATAATAAAAATGTAATTGTATAGTATGTCAAATAATGTCATAGTGTAGAATGTCAAAACATTTCTTAGTATAGTATGATAAAAACATCATAGAATAGTATAATAAAAATGTCATTATAGTTTGTCAAAAAATGTAATAGTATAGTATGATAAAAAATATCATAGTATAGTATGTCAAAAAATTTCATCGTATAGTATGATAAAAATGTCAGTATAGTATGTCAAAAAATGTCATAGTATAGTATGATAAAAACGTCATAGTATAGTCTGTCAAAAAATGTATAGTATAGTATGATAAAAACGTCATTGTATAGAATGTCAAAAATATGTCAGAGAATATTATGATAAAAAAGTCATAGTATTGTAAGTTCAAAATGTCATAGAATAGAATGTCAAAACAACATAGTATAGTATGATAAAAATGTCATATTATAGTATGTCAAAAAAATGTAATAGTATAGTATGATGAAAATGTAATAGTATAGTATGACAAAAATGGCATAGTATAGTATGTCAAAAAACTGTCATAGTATAGTATGATAAAAATGTCATAGTATAGTATGTCAAAAAATATCATACTATAGTATGATAAAAAAGTCATAGTATAGTATGTTCAAAATGTCATGAAATAATGTCAAAAAACGTCATAGTATAGAATGTCAAAAAATGTCAGAATAGTATGATAAAAATGTCATATTATAGTATGTCAAAATATGTCATTGTATAGTATGATAAAAAAGTCATAGTAAAGTCTGTCAAAAAATGTCAGTATAGTATGATTAAAACGTCATTGTATAGTATGATAAAAAAGTCATAGAAAAGTATGATAAAAACGTCATAGTATAGTCTGTCAAAAAATGTAATAGTATAGTACAGTAAAAACGTCATTGTATAGTATGTTAAAAATATGTCAGAGAATATTATGATAAAAAAGTCATAGTATTGTAAGTTCAAAATGTCATAGAATAGAATGTCAAAACATCATAGTATAGTATGATAAAAATGTCATATTATAGTATGTCAAAATTTGTAATAGTATAGTATGATGAAAATGGCATCGTATAGTATGTCGAATAATTGTCATAGTATAGTATGATAAAAATGTCATATTATAGTATATTAAAAATATCATAGTATAGAATGTCAAAAAATGTCATAGTATAATATGATAAAAATGTCATATTACAGTATGTCAAAATATGTAATAGTATAGTCTGTCAAAAAATGTCATAGTATAGTATGATAAAAACGTCATTGTATAGTATGTCAAAAATTTGTCAGAGAATATTATGATAAAAAAGTCATAGTATTGTAAGTTCAAAATGCAATAGAATAGAATGTCAAATCATCATAGTATAGTATGATAAAAATGTCATATTATAGTATGTCAAAAAATTGTCATAGTATAGTATGATAAAAATGTCATATTATAGTATGTAAAAAATATAGTATGGTATGATAAAAAAGTCATAGTATAGTATGTTCAACATGTCATGAAATAATGTCAAAAACGTCATTGTATAGAATGTCAAAAAATGTCATAGTATAGTATGATAAAAATGTCATATTACAGTATGTCAAAATATGTAATAGTATAGTATGTCAAAAAACGTCATAGTATAGTATGATAAAAACGTCATAGTATAGTCTGTCAAAAAATGTAATAGTATAGTATGATAAAAACGTCATTGTATAGTATGTCAAAAATATGTCAGAGTATATTATGATAAAAAAGTCATAGTATTGTAAGTTCAAAATGTCATAGAATAGAATGTCAAAACATCATAGTATAGTATGATAAAAATGTCATATTATAGTATGTCAAAAAAATGTAATAGTATAGTATGATGAAAATGTCATAGTATAGTATGACAAAAATGGCATAGTATAGTATGTCAAAAATTGTCATAGAATAGTATGATAAAAATGTCACATTATAGTATGTAAAAAATATCATAGTATAGTATGATAAAAAAGTCATAGTATAGTATGTTCAAAATGTCATGAAATAATGTCAAAAAACATCATAGTATAGTATGATAAAAATGTTATAGTATAGTCTGTCAAAAAATGTCATAGTATAGTATGATAAAAACGTCATTGTATAGTATGTCAAAAATTTGTCAGAGAATATTATGATAAAAAAGTCATAGTATTGTAAGTTCAAAATGCCATAGAATAGAATGTCAAATCATCATAGTATAGTATGATAAAAATGTCATATTATAGTATGTCAAAAAATTGTCATAGTATAGTATGATAAAAATGTCATATTAAAGTATGTAAAAAATATCATAGTATAGTATGATAAAAAAGTCATAGTATAGTATGTTCAACATGTCATGAAATAATGTCAAAAAACGTCATAGTATAGAATGTCAAAAAATGTCATAGTATAGTATGATAAAAATGTCATATTACAGTATGTCAAAATATGTAATAGTATAGTATGTCAAAAAACGTCATAGTATAGTATGATAAAAACGTCATAGTATAGTCTGTCAAAAAATGTAATAGTATAGTATGATAAAAACGTCATTGTATAGTATGTCAAAAATATGTCAGAGTATATTATGATAAAAAAGTCATAGTATTGTAAGTTCAAAATGTCATAGAATAGAATGTCAAAACATCATAGTATAGTATGATAAAAATGTCATATTATAGTATGTCAAAAAAATGTAATAGTATAGTATGATGAAAATGTCATAGTATAGTATGACAAAAATGGCATAGTATAGTATGTCAAAAATTGTCATAGAATAGTATGATAAAAATGTCACATTATAGTATGTAAAAAATATCATAGTATAGTATGATAAAAAAGTCATAGTATTGTAAGTTCAAAATGTCATAGAATAGAATGTCAAAACATCATAGTATAGTATGATAAAAATGTCATATTATAGTATGTAAAAAATATCATAGTATAGTATGATAAAAAAGTCATAGTATAGTATGTTCAACATGTCATGAAATAATGTCAAAAAACGTCATAGTATAGAATGTCAAAAAATGTCATAGTATAGTATGATAAAAATGTCATATTACAGTATGTCAAAATATGTAATAGTATAGTATGTCAAAAAACGTCATAGTATAGTATGATAAAAACGTCATAGTATAGTCTGTCAAAAAATGTAATAGTATAGTATGATAAAAACGTCATTGTATAGTATGTCAAAAAATGTCAGAGTATATTATGATAAAAAAGTCATAGTATTGTAAGTTCAAAATGTCATAGAATAGAATGTCTAAACATCATAGTATAGTATGATAAAAATGTCATATTATAGTATGTCAAAAAAATGTAATAGTATAGTATGATGAAAATGTCATAGTATAGTATGACAAAAATGGCATAGTATAGTATGTCAAAAATTGTCATAGAATAGTATGATAAAAATGTCACATTATAGTATGTAAAAATATCATAGTATAGTATGATAAAAAAGTCATAGTATAGTATGTTCAAAATGTCATGAAATAATGTCAAAAAACATCATAGTATAGTATGATAAAAATGTTATAGTATAGTATGTCAAAAAATGTCATAGTATAGTATGATAAAAATGTCATTGTAAAGTCTGTCAAAAAAATGTCATAGTATAGTATGGTAAAAAGTCATAGTATAGTATGATAAACATGTCATAGTATAGTATGTCAAAAAAATGTCAGTATAGTATGATAAACATGTAATAGTTGAGTACATGAACAAATGTCACAGTATAGTATGATAAAAATGTCATAGTAAAATGTCAAAAAATGTCATAGTATAGTATGATAAAAATGTCATAGTATAGTATGTTCAAAATGTCATAGTATAGTATGACAAAATTGTCAGTTTAGTATGTCAAAAATGTCATAGTAAAGTATGATAAAAATGTCAAAGAATAATGTGTCAAAAAAAGTAATAGTATAGTATGATAAAAATGTCATAGTATAGTATGTCAAAAAAATGTCAGTATAGAATGATAAAAATATCATAGTAAAGTATGTCAAAAAATGTCATAGTATAGTATGATATAAATGTCATGGTATACTTTGTCAAAAAATGTCATGGTATAGTATGATAAAAATTTCATAGTATAGTATGATAAAAAAGTCATAGTATAGTATGATGAAAATGTCATATAGTATGTCAAAAAATGTAATAGTATAGTATGATGAAAATGTCATAGTATAGTATGACAGAAAATGGAATAGTAAAGTATGTCAAAAAAATGTCATAGTATAGTACGATAAAAATGTCATAGTATGTCAAAAATATCATAGTATAGTATGATAAAAATGTCATAGTATAGTATTATAAAAAAGTCATTGTATAGTATGATAACAATGTCATATTATAGTATGTCAACAAATGTTATAGTATAGTATGATAAAAATGTCATAGTATAGTATGACAAAAATGGCATAGTATAGTATGTCAAAAAATTGTCATAGTATAGTATGATAAAAAAGTCATAGTATAGTATGTTCAACATGTCATGAAATAATGTCAAAAAACGTCAAAGTATAGAATGTCAAAAAATGTCATAGTTTAGTCTGTCAAAAAATGTAATAGTATAGTATGATAAAACCGTCATTGTAAAGTATGTCAAAAATATGTCAGAGTATATTATGATAAAAAAGTCATAGTATTGTATGTTCAAAATGTCATAGAATAGAATGTCAAAACATCATAGTATAGTATGATAAAAATGTCACATTAAAGTATGTCAAAAAAATGTTATAGTATAGTATGATAAAAATATCATAGTATAGTATTACAAAAATGGCATAGTATAGTATGTCAAAAAATTGTCATAGTATAGTATGATAAAAAAATCATACTATAGTATGTTCAAAATGTCATGAAAAAATGTCAAAAAACGTCATAGTATAGTATGATAAAAATGTTATAGTATAGTATGTCAAAAAATGTCATAGTATAGTATGATGAAAATGTCATTGTATAGTATGTAAAAAAAATGTCATAGTATAGTATGATAAAAAAGTCATAGTATAGTATGATAAAAAAGTCATAGTATAGTATGATAAAAATGTCATAGTATAGTACGTCATAAAAAAGTCATAGTATAGTATGATAAACATGTAATAGTTGAGTACATGAACAAATGTCATAGTATAGTATGATAAAAATGTGATAGTAAAGTATGTCAAAAAATGTCATAGTATAGTACGATAAAAATGTCATAGTATAGTATGTCAAAAAATGTCATAGTATAGTATGATAATAATGTCAGTTTAGTATGTCAAAAATGTCATAGTAAAGTATGATAAAAATATCATAGAATAATGTGTCAAAAACGTAATAGTATAGTATGATAAAAATGTCATAGTATAGTATGTCAAAAATGTCATAGTATAGTATGATAAATATGTCATAGTAAAGTATGCCAAAAAATGTCATAGTATAGTATGATAAAAATGTTATAGTATAGTATGTCAAAAAATGTCATAATATAGTATGATAAAAATGTCGTAGTATAGTATGATAAAAATGTCATAGTATAGTATGTCAAAAAAATGTCATAGTTAAGTATGTTAAAAATGTCATGGTATACTTTTTTAAAAAATGTCATTGTATAGTATGATAAAAATGTCATAGTATACAAGGTCAAAAAAACTTCATAGTATAGTATGATAAAAATGTCATAGTATATTATGACAAAAATTTTATAGTACAGTATGATAAAAATGTCAGTAAAGTATGTCAAAAATCATATAGTATAGTATGATAAAAATGTCATGGTATACTTTGTCGAAAATTGTCGTAGTAAAGTATATAAAAAGTGTCATAGTATAGTTTTACAAAAAATGTCATGGTATAGTATGATAAAAATGTTATAGTTTAGTTCATCAACAAATGTCATAGTATAGTATGATAAAAATGTCATAGTAAAGTATGTCAAAAAATGTCATAGTATAGTATGTCAAAAAATGTCATAGTATAGTATGTCAAAAAATGTCATAGTATAGTATAATAAAATTGTCATAGTATAGTATGATAAAAATGTCAGTTGAGTATGTCAAAAATGTCATAGTATAGTATGATAAAAATGTCACAGAATAATGTGTCAAAAAATGTCAGTATAGTATGTCAAAAAATGTCATAGTATAGTATGATAAAAATGTCTCAGTGTAGTCTGACAAAAATCTCTATATAGTATGATAAAAATGTCATAGTATAGTATGATAAAAATGTTATAGTATAGTATGTCAAAAAATGTCATAGTATAGTATGATGAAAATGTCATTGTATAGTATGTAAAAAAAATGTCATAGTATAGTATGATAAAAAAGTCATAGTATAGTATGATAAAAAAGTCATAGTATAGTATGATAAAAATGTCATAGTATAGTACGTCATAAAAAAGTCATAGTATAGTATGATAAACATGTAATAGTTGAGTACATGAACAAATGTCATAGTATAGTATGATAAAAATGTCATAGTAAAGTATGTCAAAAAATGTCATAGTATAGTACGATAAAAATGTCATAGTATAGTATGTCAAAAAATGTCATAGTATAGTATGATAATAATGTCAGTTTAGTATGTCAAAAATGTCATAGTAAAGTATGATAAAAATATCATAGAATAATGTGTCAAAAACGTAATAGTATAGTATGATAAAAATGTCATAGTATAGTATGTCAAAAATGTCATAGTATAGTATGATAAATATGTCATAGTAAAGTATGCCAAAAAATGTCATAGTATAGTATGATAAAAATGTTATAGTATAGTATGTCAAAAAATGTCATAATATAGTATGATAAAAATGTCGTAGTATAGTATGACAAAAATGTCAGTTGAGTATATCAAAAATGTTATAGTATAGTATGATAAAAATGTCATAGTATAGTATGTCAAAAAAATGTCATAGTTAAGTATGTTAAAAATGTCATGGTATACTTTTTTAAAAAATGTCATTATATAGTATGATAAAAATGTCATAGTATACAAGGTCAAAAAAACTTCATAGTATAGTATGATAAAAATGTCATAGTATATTATGACAAAAATTTTATAGTACAGTATGATAAAAATGTCAGTAAAGTATGTCAAAAATCATATAGTATAGTATGATAAAAATGTCATGGTATACTTTGTCGAAAATTGTCGTAATAAAGTATATAAAAAAGTGTCATAGTATAGTTTTACAAAAAATGTCATGGTATAGTATGATAAAAATATAATAGTTTAGTTCATCAACAAATGTCATAGTATAGTATGATAAAAATGTCATAGTAAAGTATGTCAAAAAATGTCATAGTATAGTATGTCAAAAAATGTCATAGTATAGTATGTCAAAAAATGTCATAGTATAGTATAATAAAATTGTCATAGTATAGTATGATAAAAATGTCAGTTGAGTATGTCAAAAATGTCATAGTATAGTATGATAAAAATGTCACAGAATAATGTGTCAAAAAATGTCAGTATAGTATGTCAAAAAATGTCATAGTATAGTATGATAAAAATGTCTCAGTGTAGTCTGACAAAAATCTCTATATAGTATGATAAAAATGTCATAGTATAGCATGATAAAAATGTCATGATGTTAAAAATGTCATGGTATACTTTGTTTAAAAATGTCATAGTATAGAATTAAAAAAAAACTTCATAGTAAAGTATGATACAAATGCCATAGTATAGTATGATAAAAATGTAACAGTATAGTATGTCAAAAATATGTCATAGTATAGAATGATAAAAAAGTTATAGTATACTCTGTTAAAAAATGTCATAGGATAAGGGCAATGTAAAATATGCAATTTTTTTTCCTTCTTCTGATCCTTGAGTCTTCTAATGAGCAGCCCGATCTTACAGGACAGTTAGCTGTGAGAAGTCCTTCAGGATTTAAATGTGTAAAACACCTGCACCTCATGACGGCTTTACTCTCTCATGATGTGTTAAATAAACACACTTGTGCAAGTTATAATCTGGGTGAAGGTTATGTACACAACGTTTGGCGATTGATTTAATCGAAGGCCAAAAATATATGAATTACACTGAAGGATTTTGTCATCACTGTCATTAACTCCGTGAAAACCAAGGACGACCACTCTCCGACCCTCTAAACCCGGCAGATTTCTCTCTTTGGTTAAATATGAGCAGCACACGGGGTCAGGGAGACAGGAGCTCGATAAATATGATCCATCAATATCCGCTCAGAGTCCTCCAGAGCTGCAAGAGCCGGAAAGAGCGGAAATGAATCATACTGCAAAATGCTCATCATTACAAATGACAGAGTGCAGTACAACAGAGCTTACCCCAAAACTTTTTAAAAGACTTGTTTACTCTGTATAATGCAAAAAAAGTTCAATTTGAGTAAAAGTGGTTTAAAAGGACTCGCCATGTTAAGAGCAGGTCCATTCATTGAGTTTATTTAGACTGAATCGAACCTCAAGATCTTCCTGTGGTATTAAACAAACACACACAGGTAAATATAAATAACCCCAGCCCATGATGCGCTCCGCTGACCTGCTCTCATTATGAAAAGGCAGTGGCTCTCAGGGATAGAAGATAAATAAAGCATGCCTCAGAGACACTCGAGAGAACAAAAGTTGAGTCTTACCTGCAGGAAATGTTCACACACACAACCTCCTCTCAGTCACAGCAGCACAACAGCTGAGTCACAACATCTCATCACCCAACAATAGTGATGTTAAATAGGTTTTGATTTGACACCCGGCAACAACAGCGAGCCATTATGTTCGACAAAAGCAACAAAATTAAAGTTGTGTCATCTCCCGCTGCTGCCACCTGCAACATTTTGCAAAATCACGACCTCCTCCCTGCCGTCAGCTCGAATCACTTTCTAGAACTGATTTAATTTACGCTCCAACTGTTGGATGGTGTCGCAGTTTAAAACTTTCAGAGCATGTTTGATGGATGGTGATGGTGGTGTGGGAGGTAAAGCTCAAAAGGCGATGCAAATGCTGCGCTACAGCAGGTGGGATCTACCTTCTACCTTTCTGCACATACTGTAAACCAAACCTGTGATAGAGCTCCATCAGACGATCATTTCGACGACGTTTAAGTTTCATCCAGTTTCAGTTCCTTTCTCATGTTTTTATTTGCTAAATGTACAAAAATGTGACACACAAGTGGAGATGAAATGAGCCGGCTGAATATAAATGAACTACTTAGTTCCACTACAACCAGCTACAATGTAGACATCCTGTTTTTAATAAATCAGCAATAATTAAAGTTATTGTCACATTTAATAATTCTAAAATAATGAAAAGGCCATTCTCATGACTAATGACTCTTAATTAAAGCCGCACAGTTTTCATACGAACAACAGATCAGCTGACTCAGTTTAATATGAAAATGGTCTCTTGTGATAAATCATTGCAAAAATTAGCAGTTTTCCTCAACTTACAGCCAGAAGAGCCAAGCTGTGAACAAATCGATGACGTGTTATCACCCTCAGAAATAATCGGAGCTGAAAGTGAGCGGCGCTGCTGTTCATTCAGGAGGTTTTTTTGGTCTGTTAAGCATCTTGATCACAGTGACTAACGCTGACAGCTTAACAGGCAGTTTTGGACTGGGCAGCCAAAATACTGAAATACTGAAACTGGAGCATCTCTGGGATGACTTTTTATTCTTGGTCATATTACAAACTTCCTGCAGATTATCCTACATAGTTGGGAGATGGTCGTCATAATATGTTTTTAAGGGTTTTGTTCAAACTAGAGCTGGTTAATCTCAAAAAAAGCATATTTTTTAGTTTTCTTTGCGCTATTTTTGATTTTTGGCTTCCAGTTTGCGCCCACTGCCTCTCCAAACGTCACTCTCAATTATACACCAGTGGAGGACACATACTGGGAGCAAGGTGGGTTAAGTGTCTTGCCAAAGGACACAATGGACAGACTAGGGATAGGAGGAATCGAACCGCCAACCTTCCAGTTATTGGACAGGCTTGTTTGTCTTATTCTAGGCCACATTTAATAAACATATCAGGATTGTTTCCACTAAAAGGAGGGGTCTTTATATGTAAAAAAAAAAAAAACACATTGAAACTATATTAATTCTGAACTTTGTAAATACAGTTTAGGTCCTGGACTATCCCACCTGCAGCCCTGACTCATCACCAAATAAAAATATCTGGTGCATCATGACATGAAGAAATTCAACTCTGAACTATCAAACATGCAAAACCAAGAATCAGCTAATGATGGACATTTTAAAGATTTCAAAACTCCAGAATCTGGTCCTCTTGGTTTGTAAACCTTTGCAGAGTGTTGTTAGAGATCTAAGTCTCATTGGGTTCTCACCTGGTTTAATAACGTTTAATTAAATAAGATAAAAAAGAAGAAGTGACAATGTTAAGCATGTCTCTGTCCCAACTTACTTTTCACTGGACTATAAAAATGTCCTTGTCTATGATTTACAAACTCTTAAGCTCTGCTGCTCGGGGCATTTGTCTTTTGGACTGCTTTAACCTAAATTGAGACTTTTAGGAGGAAATAAAATGATCATTATTAAGACTCATGCTGAGCACTGTATTTCAATAAGAAACCTGCAGTCACATATCAGTTTAATACTCTCCCCAACTATTTAACCATGGAAATATGATTAAAATATTTGCTGAAACTTATCGTGTATATTGTTGAAACAGTTTCATATATACAAAAATGTCTGCAGGAGTTTGAACCTTCAGAGATCAGTCATAAACATATTTTTTTTAAGTGTCTTGTGTCTAAAATTGCCTCCTGTCCAGAAGAAGCGATGTTTTTTGCATGTTTCTGTGTCAAGTGTTGGAGCAGAAAATGTGTTAAAAAGTTAAAAAGTAACTTGAAAGTGTCTGCAGAAATCCGTCTCACTGTATGTGATATCATTCTGTTCAAAAATGAGCAGGAACGCTGCGGATGGAGTATGCACATTCAGTGTTATATATATAATTTATAGTTAAGGGGATTTATATGGTTTCATGCAGCCAGAAGCCTCCCTTTACATTAGTTTTTTAGATGTACCACAGCCAGACTGAGTTATAATCATACGATGAATTAAAATTCTATAAGCATTCGTTTTCATTCAGCTAATGGGCTACTCTGCAGTGATTATGATAGCATGAAAGTCACTTCAATTAAAATATGCTCAAATGAAGACTTGAACGAGAGCTTCATCAATTAATATCCCTAGATTATACTGCGAGATGGATGTTGGTGCTTAGAAATGAAAATCACACCATTCTTCCATCTGTTCCCGGCCAAAAAGCCCTCACATTTCGAAGCGACTCACTGCTTATGGTGATGGGATTTCAAAGCCTTCAGTGGAGTATCGGGGTGTGACACACAAACATTGATTTCTCACAGGATCATAACAAATTGATCTATCCTCCTGAGGTGGCTTGAAAAATAAAATTCTGCAGCGATCAATGCAGAGAGCCTTGACACCACTCCCTCCACTGGTGCGCTACGAGGCAACAGTTATGAGATGGAGATGGAGGTGGAGGTGATGGGTGGGTGATCTGCATGCTTGTAGCTCTGCAGCTAATCTGCAAAAGCTGCAACAGAACCCTGATTTAAACCTCCAGGGCTGAGAAATAAAGACAACATTTAAGTGTAATAAACTGTAATTCCTCTGATGGCCACTTGAGGCTGACCAGAAGCACCGGGAGCCACATACACACCCATTCAAAAAGAGCTCAAAGTTTTTTATTTTTATTTTTTATCGTAATGTAGTTTATTATTATTATTATTATTATTATTATTATTATTATTATTGTTGTTATTATTCAGCTGAGTTAAGCATTTGACTCTGAGCAAAACCAGAGACAAGTACCGGCCAAATATACTTTTTTATGCCAATACTGAGACAAAGACATTGACCGTTACATTAGCATGCTAATGTTTTAGCGCAATGGTTTTGAGACGGGGCAGCACAGTGGTTAGCACTGTCGCTTCACAGTAGGAAGGTTGTGGGTTCGAATCCCGGTCAGGGCATTTCAGTGTGGAGTTTGCATGTTCTCCCTGTGTCTGCGTGGGTTTCTCCCACATCCCCCAAAACATGCAGAAGTGGGGTTAGGTTAATTGACTTGTCCAGAGTGTCCCCTAACTTTGCCCCAAGATGCTGGAAAAGGCTTTAGCCCCACGTGACTCTCAATGGGCTAAGTGGTAGAAAATGGATGGCTGGTTTGTTGAGATGTTGACTTTGACATATTTTCCAGCATGATTAGACTTGGAAGCCATTGTATCGCCACAGACCATCAAAGTGACTTTTTTACGTCCTTGCCTCATGTGTAAACCAATAAAATCATCTTTAAATCAACATTTAGTGTCTTTATATATTCTAATTCTAAACTGAATTGGAACTTAGGGTTCCTATGCAAGTACGAAAAGTATGAAAATAAATTTGATCGATTTCCAGGTCTTAAAAAGTATGGGAAAATGTTCCAGACGATTACCACATTTCTAAAATACTGTTTTCTAAAATAGAAAAGTAGGTATTTCCAAAAATAATTCTAAAAAGTAGGGTATAGAAATTCCAACTGTGTAGGAACCCTGAAAACTGTTGTTAAATTTTAACTGTTGAAGTTTCTTTCATTGTCAGGAACTGACTGTAGCAACAGGCTCAAACGCAGACCCGAGGTTCCAGCAGGCAAAAGACACGTTTATTAACAGTCCAGGTTCGGTACACAGTAAGGCAGAATAACAGGCAGAGGTATCCAAAACGTCAAGGTCAAAAACTAACAAGGTCGATATTGTAGACTGTGAAAACTAGAATAAGCGCTGGAACGTGACAAAAACATAACGAAGAGGTGATGAGACTGTGAGAGACATGAGTTTAAGTACAAGAGGGTAATGAGGACGATGGGAGACAGGTGGGGAGGAACAATCAGGAGGCAGGTGAGACAAGACGGGGGCAGGGCAGACAGGAACACATCTGAAAACAGAGACAGGGGTTAGTGACTTCAAAATAAAACACACAGGAGACAAATGACATGAAATGAACAAAACAAAGATATCATGACAGAAGTAGAAGAGCGACTTAAACTTCTTTTTTTGTGTTTAATGCATGTTTGAAAAAGTGGAGTGCTAAAAAGCCATCGAGCACCAAGAGTCACGAAACAGTTTGTAAAATGAAACAGAGTAATTTTTGTTGCAAAGCTCACAGTGTTCGACACAGCGCAGTAATCCAGCGGTAAATGTATGAAAATGAGTTTGTTAGGTGGAGATGAGAAGACAGATTTTATTTGCATAAACGACTGAAAGAGCGGAGGAACGAGAGTATGAATCTACTTTTTATGTTCGTTTTATTTTAGAGGGACTTTTGATCCTCCAATACCAGCAATCTAGCCCCACCCCCATGTCCTAATATGGTCATATCTGGCTCCAGAAAAACAACAGTGCACCGCGGCGATAGCTAAAAAAGTGCCGTCCATAATTAATCCAGTCCACGGTCAGTAGTGATGGGAACAGATTGGGCCTGGTCGATGGCGTGTGTTCATCAGCACCTTGCAGTAAAAGGCTGTGGACCAGCTAATGGTGCCGTGGGCCATTAACGCTGCTGGGACAGGTGGGGAAGTGTGCTGTAGCACTCTGAGTGTGTAGTTAGCACTTCGCAGTGTGCGGCGATCCCCTGGCAGGATGAGAGAAGCAAGAGTTGCAAATCCAGCTGCTCTCCATCGCACATCGCCGCCCGCCGTCACGCAGGGATGAGGTGCCAATTGATATCTTCAGTGGTAAGCTGTTGTGACAGTTCCTTTGTAAATGTTTGGACATGGCTGTTTAAGCACCGCCATCTCGTATCTCTTTGACTTTTAAGTCTCTCCCTATGGGCTCTTTTTTCCCCTCTCCTTGACTTCACAGGTTCCCTGAAGTCATGCTGCAGAGCACATCCTCTGCGGCGACATCCCGTCCCAGACCTTCCTGACATTTTTCCCCCCTCACTTCTTTTCTGTTTCGCCACCGATTCAACTTCTGGAAAATGATAATAATTGCAGGAATAAATGAGCTTCACCTCCATCTGTCCTCCTTTTTTTCCTGACAGACTCAGCTTTCAGGGAAGGAAGAAGTCCGGAGCTGCTCTCCTGCATGGTGAGTGGTTATTAAGGCTGTGATGAGGAGATAAGGTAAGGTGACAGCTGTTTTTCAAAACCCGAGTGCGCCCTCTCCTAAAAACACGTTTTTTTTCACACAATTTCCCCTCTCCTTTATCTGAGCGCGACTGTATCCCTCCCCGCCACGAGTCTCTCTGTCCACCTCATTAGCTCGGAGGCAGGAAACCAAATTACCTTCAATTACAAAGTCATCAAAGGCCATCTGAAGTCCTGTCTCAGCAAGCAGGCCCCTGCAGAACAGCACAGGGGGGCCCTGCGTGCAAAATAACCCTGAATTTAGTCCAAAAAAAATGGAAGCACTAAAAGAGACCAGGAGGATTGATTTAATTGGCGCTTTTTGCTCTACGTTTGTGAAATAAAATCATCACAGAACGAGCGGAGAGTCTTTTGGCTGCGGCTGAAATGGATAAAACTTCATTCTCTGTATGTTGAACCGCAGCAGGAACACGAGGGGAAGAGAAAACATTCAGACGCTCTCGGAGGGTAAATTCATTTCTCCAATTATTGGCCAGAATCCAAAGTCTTCTTGCCAAATCATTATGCACACTTTTCCACCCCAAAATAGAACTAGAGACCAATTGAGATGAGAGCGGGACGTGCGCCGCTGGTCCATGAATCCCCCTCTCCCATTAGAAACGTGTTCATCCTTGTTATCACGTACTGAATGCTCTGTTTGGCTTCAGCCATTTTATCAAGCAGAAGAAGAGGAGCGCTTTTTCTGTCGTTCTCTCCTCTCTCTCTCTCTTTTTTTTTATTTTCCCCTCCTCTCACTCAGGCGGAGGGAAATGAGGCCAGTCAGTTTGAGGTTTGTTTTTCTGGGTCTCTAAGGAGCTTACAGTAAACAGCACACAGGAGCCGCTTTGGAGAGTGTGAGTCCTGGCTGCAGGATGCACATGAGGAGTTTATTGAAAAACAAGACATCCATCAAGCTGCTGAAAAACATATGTGACTACGCTGGGAGGCTTAACTCGTGATAGGGAGATGTATATTTGATGTGCCGTCCAGACTTTTCTCATGTGTAGCAGAAGCATTTTAATAAGTCACTGAATGATGCATGACAGGCCCACATCTTCAAACCGGGTTAAAAAGAGCTCTGAAATCGTAAAATCACAACTCAAAAAGAGAGAGGATGCTGAGTTAACTGTTGATACAAACATGTTTTGGTGTTAGAGAATTATTTAAACTGTGTATTTGACTAAAAATACTGCAGAGACAGCAGGTTTTCATGTTAAAACTGGAGCATTCGCCCTCATTTTGAACATGTTTCAGGAAGAATTAGGACTGGGACGATCGATCACTCATCTACAGTTTAAACTATCAGTAAAATCTCTGAACAAAAGGTACAAGGCAGAAAACGAAACATGGAACGCATCAGAAACAGACGTGACTCTGTAGTGGAAATCCCCGCATGAGCTTCAAATCACAGCTGGTTAAGAAGACGCCATAAACAAATGCTCGCAGCTTCGTTGAGTCTATTTAAAGCTATAGTGTGTAACTTCTACGTGTCTGTAAATGTCTGTTTCACCAAAGCAACTACAAAGGGTAGTGGGTTTGAGTCCGGCCCTGACCATATGCTGCATGTCCTGTCAATGAAAGGGAATAATTCACCAAATAAAAAATGATACGACGCTAATTCAGTCATTGTTCTTTTTCTATTTGGTTTTTGGGGGCTGACATTCCTGCACTAGGAAATGACGCGCTCTACTTGGTTTTACTCGACAACGAGAAGAAAGAAGAAAGAAGAAAGAAAAAGCCTTCCTGTTCGGGAGAAGGTATGTTGGCAAAGAAAGAGAGTGACAAATGGAGAAGACGGATTTACGACGGCGTCGCTTTTCCTCGACTGGACTGAGGTCCGACCCCGATGTCGCCTTGATACTGCTGAAAAAGTAGGTGACTGTTGCTGGACTGACTACTTTATTATTTTCTTGGAAATGGTGCGATGAATGTCATGTATTGTTAGCATCCTGGTGTTCGCCTCATTGTGTAACGTTAGCCTAACGAGCAGGAAGTTACAAGGTAGTCTGTGTGCCGTGATGAGTAACTTCAGTAGCGTAGTTACAGTCCATGTATTGTGATGAACAAAGTGCGGTGAGTCGTGAGTGTTACTCCGGGGCCATACGTCATATTGAGGGACCAGCTGTATCATTGTAATAATGCAGAAATCCTCCAGGGGGCGATAGAAGTTACGCACTAAAGCTATAAAGTGGACAGAGGCGAAGTGAAAAACTTCCCTTTGTTTTTTTTCATTTTTTTGTGAATCATGGACGCTGTGCCCTCCTCCAATCAGAAGAGAGAAACCACTCATCTCGTTGTCAGCGCGGTGTTCGAATGCGGGACTTTCCCGGCGCTGTTCTGCAGATCGTTCATCAATCAACTCCCAGTTTTCCCGTTGGCATGTTCTCCCTTTGCTGCTCTCAGCTCCTCGGTTTGATTTGTTTCCCTGCTGTTCTTCATGAGAGGTCACATACATCCTGACTGCCTCATCTTGATATTTATAACCTGATGCATGTTGTAAATAGCATTTCTATCCACTTCTTCCTGCTACATTTCCTTTAAGGGGGACAATGAACAGATTGATACGCTTGAAGCAAACTGGATTGCATGATGGGTTGCCTGACGACGTCTCCTCACAGCGGGGTTTAAAGCAGTTTTAAATGGCCGTACTTTCAGGCGGGGGTGAAGAGCCCGCTGTGTCAAACCGCCTCCTTTAGGCGCCATCAAACTGCCTCCCTGATCTCTATCCAAGGGTTCTATGGCGTCTATATGTCTTCTGGTCTCGACTCATTGAATTTAAGGACTGAAGATCATGACACTCTCTCAGTGTCTCTTTAAAAGCGTCTCTCAAATGTGACCGTATCAGGTGAAAAATGAGAAGTTCAACCCTTTCTCTTCTTTGTATCTCGCACCAGTCGCTGCATCCCGAAGGTAACAGTCGAACAGTCTGCTTTGAAAAGTTACAAAAACTCTTCAAACCGAGTCTCTGATCTCCGGCATTAGATCTGTATTTTTAGACATCGCTAGACGACCCCAGATGATCTCAGATTGAATCATACGTCGGGTCGAGATTGAAGCGATGCAAAGTAACAGGCACTTGAGCGAGTCTGTCCTGATGAGAGGTTGATGTTTAAAAGCAGAAAGTCCTTGAACGAAAACTTCAAAACAAAATAATAAAAGAAAAACAACATTTGATGAGAAAGTAGTCTGATCTGAAAAGTGAGTCCTACTTATTTTGTTTTGATGAACAAATGATGAGGATTCAGAGAGTTGGTGGTCTGTGAAACATTTTCACTGAACCCTGAAGCACTCCTGCTATCCTGATGAGCTAAAACCAGAGCCACTGTTTAATTATATAGTGTTTAATTTGCAAAATTTCCACAAAGGCCTGGAAAAGAAGGGAAGATGGACTTTTTAATTAGTATTTGTTTTAATTTGCCAGTGCTGTGTGGTGGGTTTCTGCCAGAGATTTTTTGGGTGTCCTCTTGTAGTCAGTGATGTTTGGGGGATTTAACTGCCAGAATACGTGTTTTTTTTTCTTTGGTTTGGCTTTGTTTACAGTCTCTGCATTTTAATGACGGGGCAATTGAAAACTCACAACACTGTAATGAAACTAAAGTCGAACCTTGATGCCATCGTTTTTTCTTTTTTTCACCGAGCTCTCTAAAATGATTACAAATCACTGTCAAAAAAATGAAACTATTTCATCTGTCATCTGCAGCCAAACATTTCTGCTCCCTGTTTCTGTTTGGTGGTGCACTTTTGTCTAATTTTGTTTGACTTTAAGTTCAAATTAATTTAATTTCTTTTGGCAGTTCTGTTCACTGACGGGTCTGGAGCAGAAGGGAGACTTTAAGTGCAACTTGAAGGTTCAATTTTTTAATAATATTAATAAATAACCTTGTCTGGAAGTGGCTCCTTACAAAGTTCAAAATCATTTTTATTCTTTATACAAACTTAAAGGAAGATCAGCTTTTTTCAGTCAATGTCAGTTTTGCGTCACAGGAAGGAAAAGACAGAGAGCTGGGATCATGAGTTTGAAGGGTCCTCTACATTTTTTTTATTATTTATTGGTTGTAAAATAATAATTAGTAGTTTTCAATCAGAGTGCAAAACATGAACAAAATAACCCTCATGATAAACTCACACATTCATATATTAAAATCCTCTCCCTGATGAGTTATTATTGCAAACAGCTTGACCGTCTTGTGTCCCGATTGTGTTATTAACATCATGTGGAGACATAGAGTCTGCACAGTAACAAATGGTGGACAGACTGTGTTCCCTATATTCATAATATATCAGTAAATGGTACATCCTAGACCAGGTGAGCTGATCCTGCAGCAAGCAGAAGAGCAAACAGTGCAAAAACAAAGTTAGTGCAGGTAAATGTCAGGGTAGAGTTTGCGTTTAAACTGAGATCAGTGATCGAACCAGAGTCTCTAAATTTAGCAGAGTCGGATCTGTCTGTAGAAAACTGTAGCCTAGCTTGTGTCATGTTTCTACCGCTAAAAGGGTCATCCTGTTTGCTGACATGTAACTCATTCAACTTCACCTAAAAAACACTGAAGTATCCCTTTAAAGGTGAGAAGAAGAGTCATGAAATTGGGCTGCACGGTTCTGGACCAGTAGGAGTTTATAGATCAATTGACGCCCCATTTACATGTAGCCGGTTAATTTTAAAAATGGAGTCATTAACCATCGTTTGCACCCTTCGATTAAACACAAACGTAGAATTTGCCCCTGAAAACGATGTTTTTAAAAAACTCCGCCCACAGTAGAGATTTTGGAAAACTCCATTTGCATGTAAACAGAGAAAAACAGCGATTTGGTTAGCCTACAGAAGATTGTGCACCGGAAAGAAGTAAGGCACGCTGTTGTTGCTGCTGCCATGTGGGATTCTGATTGGCTAACGTGGGCTTGAGCTTCTCGCCACACTGCCACCTACAGGTTTGGCATGCTTTTGACTGCATTTATACACAGTTTAGTGTAAACGAAAACTTTTCTAATAAATTTAGTCACGTGCACAGTTTTTTCTCTGTAAACAGAGAGGGTTAAATGTCCGTTTTTGAAAATAGCAGGGCACGTGTAAACATAATCACAATCAGGCAGTTTAGAGAGTAAAGAGACAAGTTTGGTAAAAAAAAAAATCACAGATTTAAAGACTTGTGCAAACTTAATTTAAATTCTGAACTTTTTGAAGGACAGGTGACAATTTATGTAAAAAGAAAGACTAAAATATTTTTAATTTTTGACTAAAAGTATAAAAACATCAGCCAGCTAACTGGAAAGGCGCTAAGAAGGTCATTTTCAACCTCACAGCGGTGGACTGACCCCTTTAACCCCCTTCCTGGTCCTGTGACGGTGCCAGAAAGCGTCAAATGTGTCAGAAAGATCAGGGTCCAAAGCTGCATGAAGAAAGGTCGTGTTTAATTGAAGTAAACTCCTCAAACACCGACGTTCAGATGACAGCAGCTGCGTCTGACTTTGCTCTGTCAGCGGCGTCATTGGTCTGACAGCTTCTCTAAGGAGGAGTCTTCTATTATTGTTAAAATAAATAATAACCCCGAATAAACTCCAGTGTCTGCTCTGTCACCAGCAGCAGCCACAGTTTGTATCACTTTGTCACTGGTGTCACTCTGGTGTCAGCGGCACTATCACTCATTCAGAGGGATGATCTCCTATCATCACAGCTGTTTTGTTGTTGTTGGATGAATAAAAGCTACAACAAAAGGTAAAGACTCAGCGGATTGAGGGATAATCCTTCGCTAACATCAGCAGCAGTTTATCAGCCGCTGATGTCTCTGTTTGATCGTTTCAGGCCTCTCTATTATCATCAATCGTTTTTCCTGCTGTGATACATTTCCCAGAATAATCTAAACAATCGGATATTAAATGTGGAAATCCATTTGTACGTGCCAACAGCTGTAGAGTTTCATTAATGTCAGCGGTCTGTCCCAGCCGGCATCACTCAGGGGGGATGTTTGTCTGCTGGTCGTATTTGTGCAAAGATATAAATTAATACGGCCGGAGTAAACAGATAGAGAGGGAGTGACTCGGTCGTCTTTTCTGTCATCCCAGAAGAGACTGAGAAATGAAACTAAGTGGTGGTCCAGAGAGGATCTGTCAGCGAGACAATGTGGGCAAGATGCGCTGTCAGTTTCTCTGTCCGTCTTATTAAAAAAGGAGGACAGCATCGACATCTTAATTTGGGGTTATGGGTCTAAATATTGTTTAATTGATGGCTGCCTTCTGCTGGAGCTGTGAGGACTCATATATCTTTAATGTCAGCGTGTCAAAAACACGGACGACAGCTCGGTTCACAGTTTTAGAAGTTATAAAGCTCTCAAAACCTAAACTTTGAAGATGCACACCTCTAATAGGGGTTTCTTTCAGACAGATGGTAAACCTTACTTCTTTGATTTGGCCGGTTTCTAATGTCACTGCTACGCCTAAAAATGTCTCAAAATTTTCTGGTAAGGCTGCAGGTGTGAACACGGACAACCGAAAGTTTCACCCCGACATTAAAGCATGTAATCATACTGTAAGTAGGTCATTGTTACTTTGACTCTGCAACCTCATGTAACATGCAAGCGACTTTGGTAAACTGCACCGTCCTAAGAAAATTGCGTGTTGCATGTGTGAACGCAAACAACCGAAAGTTTCACCCGACATTATCTGGATATTTAGGCATGTAATTTTGCAGTAGATCATTGTTACTATGTGTCCTACTTCTGCAGCATATTTCTGATGCAACATCATGTAAAACTGCACCGTCAGAGGTCCTGAAAACTCGAGTGTTACATGTGTGAAAAGGCTTTTCTTCAAACTTTTTCAGGGCCAGTATCGATTCTTTTCAGTCAATATTCTGAATCGGTGTGTTTTTGTAAAGCCTCTTTTTTTTTAAAGTGTATTTCAGTTCATGAAAATGTTTTTGACATCTCAATCTTCCTGAAATTGTTGGTTGTCATTTACAATATTTGATCAACAGAATAACAAATATATTTCAGATGCTCTTCTGACTCCTTTTCTGCAGCAGCAGTTACGAGCTTTTGAAAATACTGTATATTAAAGTGGTGATGTTGTTTCTAGAGGTCTAGTTTACTTTTGGAGTCCGAAGAGAGAAATGAGTGTAAATCTGAATGTGTTTGATACGGAGTTCAAACCTGCTAACTGGGGATTTAAATGAACTGATTTCCACTTTAAAAACAGAGCAGATCAAACAATCTCACCTGAAACAGCAAATCAAATACAAGACGTGTCTTTTACTACATTAAGTATTAATTAGATTATTTCTTTTATGACCTCTGAGCTTGTTTGCATGATTCTCTAAAGTCTCACACTGGACTGCAAAAGTGTAAATTTATAGATATTAGAAATGGAAGTGACAAACACTTCCCCTTTAAAACTGCACATGCTGAGGATGCCTTCAAAAACAAACTGCTTCGTCTGCAGTTTCCTTGTAATCTATATAATGCCTTTTACTGTGCCATTACTTCTAACCCTCTTGGCCATACATGTGTTGCAGTCCTGGGTGCAAATTTACAGAATTTGAATATTATCGAGAGTATGGAGGCCCTGGAGATAGAAAACAACATTTGCTGAGATGTGCACAAGACATGCATGACAGTGTACGCACTGGGGATGGGTCGGGGTTGGGGGGTGTTTGCTGTGGCTCGGTGACATGGTGAGTCATTCTGGAGGTTGGCGGTTTGATCCCAGCTCCTTCAGTCTACATGCAGAGGTATTCTTGGGCGAGTCACTGAACCCCAAATTGAACACCTGGTGAAACATCTCCTTCTCATGTCTTCTACATGTGTGGCCAAACAGTTAAACCCTTGTTAGTGACATTATAGATTTTTTAATTTGTGCACAAAACAGATTTCAAACTGGAGCAGCTAATGTAACGACTCTCTAACTGGGTTAAACCCGACTGCTGTGCTACTTGCTGTTTGCGCTGCAGAAGTTTCTCCGACTATTCTGGTTCATTAATTCCCACTCTTGTCCCGGTTCAGGGTTGTTATTGTTACTGAGTTGCCAGAGGTGTCTCCTTGCAGCTGTTACTCACTCAGGCAGATATTGTCGTGGAAAAACACGAGGAAGTCGTTGCACTGTTCCCTGTGGTTGCCGCTCGCCGCACATGAGCACCACGGTCCCACGTTGGATGTGGAGTTGTCAAGGTAGTTGGGAGTTATCGTGCTTCCTGCGGGGAGACGGAGACACAGAGCACACAGCGGTGCGAGTTATAAAACCTCTTAGAGTGTTCACAAGAAACTACAGTCTTAATCCTCAAGAAGTTGGGATGCTGAGTAGAATTGTTGAAAAAAATATAGACATCTGCTGAAAACAAGCGTACAGCTACATTGTGAGTTCTGAGCAGTGATCTTTTACGTTTGTTTCCACTAGAAGAAGAAGCAACAGCTGCTAGCAAGCTAACTGTAGCAGCTCTCTGAGGGATGATGAGACACTTTTAAAAACTGATACTCAAAGTTTTATTGCGTATGTTGAGTTTGTCACTCTTTATTCAGTTCTGTGACCTTGATAGACTGGAAGTAGCTTATATTTCAAAATAAAAGCACCGAAACAGTTTTAGGATGTTATTTTTAGCCCATGCAGTGACTTCCACTACAGAGTCATGTCTATTTTAAATGAATAAATAAATAAGTATAAGTAAGTTAATCAATAAGAAAGCAAGACAGTAATTACATACAAACTAAAAGTTAAAAAAAAATGTATTAATTGATAAATAAGAAGTGAACAAATAGGTTAGTGATAAATAATTTAAAAAATGTGATAAAATTTCCTGGATCTGTTCTTGATATTAAGAACTGAAAATGATAAAATCTCTAAATTCTTTGCTGGTTTACGCTCAGGACTTTTATTCTGAAATTGTTGATCTCTTTGCTCACGCAGTTTCTCACAGCGCAGTGAACTTTTGTACCTACTGAGACAGACTTGGTATTTCAGGAACACATTTTTAAAATTTACTTAATTATTTGAGATTTTTTCCTGCAGCTGTTTTTTTTAAGCACATTTAAAACATTTTCAGAGCTTCTTTGATCATATGACTTTTTAAAAATGCTTTTCTAACATCGAATTTAAAATTATCATATCCAAAAAACAAAGATAAAATTTTGTATTTTTAACATTCAACTTATTGTCTTTGCACTATTTTTAATTAATCATAGGTTTTAAATGATTAGCCAACGTGTGTCCATTTTAGTTTTTTACTCTGAGTCTGTGTTTTTCTGGTTCTGGAGTTGTAATTTGACTGTTGGTTTACATAAATAAGAATCAGCCCTCCTTTTATTTAAGTAAACCATCAAACTTTCCCTTGTTTTCTTCTGTTTTTGAAGATAATCCTTTGCCTCCTCGGGCCGTTTGAGCCTTTTTTTCCTCTGTTAACAGTTCATCACAATAAAAGTTTGAAATAAAGAAACGTGGAGCCGACTGTCTCTCCAAATAAAAATGTCTGAGCGGAGAATTGCCTGATTTAATCTCATTACGTTTAGCCTGATTATGACCTTACCATGATTATGATAATCAAATTAAGGTGTTTACATGGCAATTTCCATTCTCGCAGCGATCCTCTAATCAGGTTTAGAGAGAGTTATTACCGTGCATTTAAATGTATTCCCTGAAAAAGACAGAGCGATGAGTTTAATAGGAAGAGGAGATGAAAGCAGAGTGAACAGAGACACAGACTGACAGGTTAGTTAAGCAGCCCGCTGATCAAACTGGTTCAATCCCAACTCCTGACAGGGCCTGACATAAAGGAGCCACAAAGAAGAAGACTTGGCTGTGTTTATTTCCAGCTTTCAGAGTAACGTCTGGGAGAAGAAAACACAAACATTTGCTAAAAATACTCTGATAGTGCCTGACAGGCAATTATTTTGAAATGTGAGTCCCCGTGTGGATGCATTTATTATATTTCTGCATTAAAAAGAGAAATGGAGACGCTTTCATGCACAGCTTCCCCTCTATGATCAGTCGGAGCGCCTCATTTGATGCTACAGCAGATCAGACCGCGAGCGCAGCAGCGGTTGTTCTCTGGTTTTTCTGACATGCGGAGCCGGACAGTTTGGTGAAGTGCTGCAGCCTGCGGGGCAGAGTTCAGGCGCCGCAGCAGAAGTCTCTCAGGTGTATTCTTTCTTTTTATTTCTTCTGCCTTTGGAGCTTTCAGCATGAAATGATTGGGAAGTCACTTTTCGGGGAAGGGTAATATAGCCTTGTAGCTTGTATTCTTCTTTAAAAAGATGTGGGAAACAGAATTGCTGCACTTTGAGGCACTGGGCAAAAAAAAAAAAAAAGTTCTGATTCACCTCCATCGATTTTTCAGGTCCCAGACTTCCAAACAACAACACCTCAGCGTCTCACTTCTACTTCAGTTGTCTAGAACGGCCAATCACCGCTGCAAAGCTTTCTCTCCCTTTCTCCCTTAATCTGTCTTCTCCAGTCCCTCGCAAACCAAACAACCTCGTTTTCTTTTTGCTCTTTTCGCAGCAGTTCAGGGCGGCACTGTTGCCCTATAATGACACATTAAACCGAGTGGTTTTTAACAACCTTTTGTGCATTGTGTGATCTTTGGCGAAGTTTTTATCACAAGTACAACAAGCCACGCTCTACGCCTCCGCCGGCACCCACTCATCACCACGTCAAGGATAATTCTCACAAAACAGCGGTCAATAGTTGTAATTGCACTACTTATAATGCCAACGACTTGGCCGGCTCATGCTGCAGCCACATTAATCAGCGCTCCATCGATTGCTGAACCACGCTTCTCATCACAATCCTTGATTCATTCTTTGGAGTCCTGTTCAGAGCTCTTGTCTGCTCTCCGCCTCCCCCCTCCTCTCTGAAACCCTATTTCTTCCCCATCCATCACAGGAGGTGGGTGAGCCAGAGCTGGCAGAGAAAGAGAGAGGTCTTTAAAATGCAAGGACTGGTGACCGGTCAAGATTTTTATTATGATTTTTTTTGGGGTCCAGTTTTCATCATTTACATCAGTTTAACTGACAGAAAAACTGAGCATTGTGCATTTAACTTGTGGTATAATATTCAAATCTTAAATCTAAACTCTTAAAGTCAGAGTGTGAGGTGAATCAGCGGAAGCAGGAGAGATGGATTTTATCTATTTCATGGTGAAACAGAAACAAAGGTGAACTATTGGGAGCAGGCCGTGACGGTGTGATTCAATTTAAAGGGATATTCCAGCGTAAATTTAAGTTAGGGTCAAAACCACTGTAACACAGAGTTAGACACCCCCTCCAGAGATGAATGTTGCTGACCGCTTGCTTCTCTAGTTATACCAACTTTAGTAACGACCGCAGGATAGCAATACACAGCGGTCTGAGGAGCCATAAACAAACCTCAACCAAAACGCCACTCTATAGCCACAAATAATGCTCAGAACAGCACCTAACTTCATCAACAGGACATATAGGGTCACAGCCATAGTACTAGACACCAAACATCTTTTTAACTTTGACTCATTTCTTTAACAGAGAGACTTAACACAACTCACCTACTCTCTTCCAGCAGCCGCTTGTTTGTACGAAGACCTCCGGGTGAGTCCATTACAGACTACAGCGGGGTGACGCAGCTCAAGGAAGAACATTTATGATAATTTCTTTATCATTTGCTTAAAGTAATAATCATCATATTAATCACTTTGCTCCACAGACGCGGTAGTTCTTCTGCCTTAGCGTCTCGGTCTGATTGAATTTCCATGAAGAAATGATCATAAATGTTCTTCCTTGAGCTGCGTCACCCCGCTGTAGTCTATAATGGACTCACCCGGAGGTCTTGAGCGCGTGGCCCTCTGTATTGCTATAGTGCGGTCGTTACTAAAGTTGGTATAACTAGAGAAGCAAGCGGTCGGCAACATTCATCTCTCGACGGGGTGTCTAACTCGGTGTTACTGTGTGTTTGACCCTAACTTCATTCTACGCCGGTATATCCCAGGTCCTTTAACAACGACAGAAAAAGTGACAAAAAGGGTCAAATATGAAGACAAATATCAGAATGACTTAAAGTCCCTGAAAAAAACATCTCTGGTGATGCATTTCAGACAGTTTGTCCAAGTGAAGTTACCATCACTTATGAGCAAACGGGCAGTTGATCTGGTAATAACGGGCTGCAGAACCAAACAACTCAATTTGGAAGACGCTAAACAGCACACTGGCCCTCTCCATCAGAAATGTAAGTATGAAAACTAAAACAGTCGACCAGCATTAAGTATTATTCACACTCTGCAGGAAGGAGTTTTCTTTTCACTGAAGCACTTCCAGCTTTAAATACCACATTGACACAAAGCATTGGTGTTTGATTAACATGTTAAGTGCATTTATATCCCCTTCCTTACTGAGTCTCTTTGTGCATAATTGAACGCATAATTTCTTTTTTCAAATTATAGCATGAAAAGCCCAATAAGTATTATATTCTGTATTTAAAGACCCACTCTGATGAAAATCATGTTTTTCTTGTTTTTTTATGTGTTCATATGTTATTTTTCTGATGCTACAGGACAAATCATGAGAAAACTACATGCAAAATTGCATTTCTGAGTTTTTCTTCATTCAAATCACTGTAAATCTGCGGCAGACCCAAACGTCGCCCACGACTCAGAGGCGAATTGCTAATGATCTACTTGAGTTCAGCAAAAGTAAAGCCCTTGAAAATAACACAGGTAACCCAGTTCTTGGTAAAAACTTCGGAGTGGTACTTTAGTGTATAGAAAGTTTTGGGAAAATGCAAGTTGTATATACTGATATATTTTTTAAATATTTTTTGTTTGGGTAATTCTTGATATGTGTCTTTTCTTATATTCTTAAATATTTTTTTGGCTCACTAGGAAAAAGCTTTCCCAGTTTGGAATCAATAAAGTGATTCTGATTTTGAAAATGAAACCCAGTTAATATCGATTAAAAATGAAACATATTTAATCGCGATTAATCGCGATTAATCGCAATTAATCTACGGCAACCCTGCGATTAATCTGATTGAATTTTTTATTATTTGACAGCATTAACATAAACATATTTTTGAAAGTTGTGTTCTGATCCGGTATGTTTCGGTTCTGTGTGTCTCTCTTCTCCAACATGAGGTAAATGTGTTCATAAAGCACTCCCACAGGGATGAGTCACGCAGCGCTGCACAGGAACGTTACACATTAAAAGGAAAAGGGCAAAAGGGTAAAAGGGCACGACAGAGCGTCTAACTGAGCAATACCATTAAAATGTAAATGACAGGCCGCGAAAATACGACAACCGGAGAAATAAAAGTATGTTTTTACAAAGTAAGTGACTTTTCCAAGAGTTAGAAGACTAATTTTTGTCTGTTTCGCTGATGAAAACTCAAAAATCTTTGGTCGAGTCACTTTGCTCAGACTGCTGCAGAGATTATTTGCTCTTACTTTGATAGTTTTGAGGCACAGCAGGGAAACGTTTCAAGAGTTTCGAACATTTTACTCCTGTCTCATTACATTAACTGAAACTCAACGTGGATTTGTTTGAGATTTTCACATCATTCATACATTTTTAGCATCTTTGTCAGGATGGAAAAGGCTGATGATGAGTCGTAGGCGTCAGTTTCTTTACTGAAAATCAACACTGATCAGAAGACTCGAACGACATGAGCAAATTATCCTGTTCTGTGGTAGATTAACGGTATACTAGAACTTATATGTTGCGTATAAAACCATCAATAAAATGACGATTTTAGACGCAACAGGGAGAATCAGTCTGTTTGATCTGAAGGACGTTCAACAAGTCAAGTCTGAGAAATCTTTGGGCGAAAACAACTCAGATACTTTTCAAAAGAATCTATAGTCCAGTTGGGTTTTCAAACTAATGCCCCAGATCTATTACGGCTCTGGCCCATCATTCCTGACAGATGAAGACCTCTGGAGACGGACCGAATTCTTACCTATCAGGCCGGTGTATGCAAGAAGACACGCTCCGTAGTTCTCCTGCTTGCAGCCACTGGCGCTGTCCTCCGAAGGTTGGCAGTCATACTGGAACTGCGCCCAGCGGGACCTGTGGGAGCAATAACACGCCATCCATCATTTACTTGGCTGCTGCTCGCATCGTGACACCGAGGGGTGGCCTGAAAGGATGTGCAAACCCAAAACGCTCATCTGCCTACCCATACTCCTACATCAACTCCCTCCAACTTTCAAGATCCGCCGCTCTGCAGCGCCCCAGTCACCCTAAGTGACATTCATCCTTCTTTTTCTTTCTTTTCTTTCCTCACTTTCCCAAGAAAGTTGGCTCATGGACGGCTGCCAGGCTGTAAAGAGTCAATGAGGGGCACAGAAAGGCCTTGGCTCTGCTCTCTAAATACCGTGGGCACTGTCTGGCAGGCCGGGCAGCCAGCAGATTAGACAAATATGGATCTTCCATAGAAATACGTCCTCCCACCACCGCTCTGCTTTCCCTCCTTCACCTTTCCTGCCAGCTAACCCCATCATCGTCATCATCACTATGATCGTGCAAGGCTACGGCGCCCATCACGCCGCATCATCGGCTGCCGTCGACTGGCATTTGTAACAGGATCCCCCTAGGGCAACGCAACTCCCCGCTCTCCCCTCGTTTGTCATGTCATTATAATGTCGACGTAGAACTCATAGGCCGCGCTCTGAGCGGAGGCATCCTCTGCAGGCTGCCAGTTAATGCCGGATGACTGGTGCAGGATTGGCAGGCTGCACAGGGGCCTTGAGATACTCCATCCATCGGGGGCAGCGGCGGGGAATGATGCCTGATCGATAGCCGTGACAGATGAAGCCCTTTGTCTTTCTGACATTCGAAGAGGAACTTGATTAAACGCGAGCGACCGTTCGCTGTCAGAGAGAGAGAGGAGGGCTGACAGGATCGCTATGAGAACTCCATGTTTTTGGTCTCCAGTGATAGACAGACTCGCACCCTTTGAATTTTAACAACCTCATTAGACGTTGTTAGTTTTCTGATTGCACGTCTACAATCAATCCGAATCTTTCTTTTCTTTTATGAAAGATTTCACGCTGATTAGATATTCTTATTTAAATAACTCCTTCTGTACACAGGGTCAGTGTTTTGAAAACTACTTACTGATCCTGATGATGCCTCGGCTGCACATTAATAAATATTTCCACAGCACTTTGGCAGGAGAGTCATGTGTGAATCCCCGATGATAAGCGGCGCTCTAATAATGACTATTTCACAGGGCTGCTTGTTGCCTAGCTGCTCCCTTTAGAAAATGAATACAGATTTTAACTGAACTAATTAAACATGGTTAATGAGGATAACAATTGAATTCATTAAACACAGCTGACTAATTGAATCTAAATGAGCATATTATACTGGCCAGACGGATCCGCCATGAAACACAACGCCATTTATTGTCCTGAGGGACAGTCGGCGCGGCAGGACGACCCTTTAAACAAAATAATTAATGAGGAACTTAACGCTGGTGTGATTCGATTAAAGACACTCGCTTCTACTGACGAACTTCAAAAGAAAAGACCCAAGTTCGTAAGTTATAATTCCTGCTGAATTTTACGGTAACTTACTGTTAAAGCTCGCTACAGAGGAAGAAGTTTGATACTTGAATTTTGGTGAATCAGGACGAGCTGGTAACTTACAACTGAGCAAGACGAAAACATTTGAGCTAGCTAACTGCGCAAACTATCAGTTAGCAAGCTAGTTAGCCAAATGCTCATAGGAAAATGCTATGTACGACAAAAAAGTCTAGACAAAGAGGAGGTGTAGAGCATAAGACGTAACTTGGAGTCTGAGGAGATACTTGAATTTGTCTCTAGATCTAGGTAGATCAGAGCATTTAAGCACCCAGGAGTTACGATAACTGTATGAGCTAGTCTCAAGCCGTTTTTGTAAACATTGTGTTATGATATGAAACAAAACGCCTGATGTAATTTGAACTAGTGCCTGGTGAAAGAAAATTAAGATGGCACCTTAAACGTTGGGGTGGGCAGGATTCTGTTAAAGAAGCATCTTTTTTTGTGGTGTTTTTACAAAAAAGCTTTTATTATCAGTCAATAGTTATTAGTTATTGATGAGATTTGGTAATATAACGATATCCCTGTGTTTTGCCATGTCTGTGTAGTCAACATTTAAAAATTTTTTAACAGCCTGCTCTTTCTGACTGTAAACAAAGCCGTTCTCCACCTCCTCTAACCTGATTGATTGTGAGGCAGACGCTGCTCCTCCGTGTCGTTCAAGAGCCCAAACAAAGTTAGCGTGCTACAATATCTGACAGTAGAAACCAACCAGAAAGTTCGGAAAATTGTCTGAATCCTCCTTTGGCCACGACTGCCGACACAAGCAAGAAAACAAAGTAAATACCGGAGACTCTGGAGGAATAACGGGCGCTTAAAGAGGAGGTAGACCAGACAAGAGCTAAAACGCCGGGTCAACATAAACGATGGGGGTCGTTGGGGATCTTACCGACCCTGTAACCTTTCTGCTGGACAGGTAAACCTCTTTAACAAAGTAAGTCAAGTGTCTGTAACAGAAGTGTTTCTTGTTAAACGGACCTGCTGTAGCGTGTTGTAGCGCCATCGCCAAACTGTCGACCTCGGGTCCTGGACTATGTCACTTTATCCTCGTTGTAGAAGTCCTGCAAACATTGTGTTTGCTGGTAGTCTGTTGGCATCTACAGTAGCACCAATGCTGTTTACTTTCACCTTGACTGGGCCCCATTTGTAATGATCTGAAGTATTTATCTGCATTATATCTGAATTTAATTGGAACGATACGAGCGAGCAGGAGCGTCTGTTTGTGGGCAGGGCTTGATGGAGCAGAGAGGAAGGGGAGAGGTGGAGAAACTGGTTGGGAGGGGTAGAGTTTACATCCAAGATTTCTCCCAAAAACTGGAACTTCCTCAGATCCTGACTACCCGCCTTTAAGGTTGTTTGTTGGTTGCCAAAGTTAGCATTGACACTTGGTTTTCTCTGTTTGGTTAGAGAATAGTTCAGAAACCCTTTGCTGTCCAGAAGACTTAATCATGTCCGACATTCATAATTCCTACCTGCACACATAGTCCGCTTTGCAGATCCGCAGCTGGGCCAGACAGTTGGGCTTCTCTTTGTCCTCGTAGGAGCAGGAGGGCACGATGGTTTGCCGGCGGCGCTCTGCACAGGCCGTGTCAGTGCAGGGGCAGAACAGCAGCTCGTGGGTGTAGTCAGGGGGAACCCGGTCAAAGAACTTCCTCAGCGCCTTGTTGCACTTTGGTCGGTTACACGGCCCCGAGCGGGCCGAGGGCTGGATGCAGGACGAGACATACTCGGTACGAAGCTTCTGACACGTCTCATCGATGTTACAGGCCTTGGCAGCATCCAGGCAGCGGTTCACGGTTGTTACTTCTGACTCTAAAAGGAGAAAAAAACACAAACAGGGGGGAAGAAAGCATTTCATCCCTCTGTGTGGTCTGAGAAAATCAAATCCCAGGCAATGTTTACCAATGATTTCGAGACCTAATTGGAGGCAGTATTGACTCGCCACTCTCACCTCCACGCTCAGAGGCAGTGTTGCATTTACAGATAAAAATAAGTGTCTGAGTGTGTCTTGAAGAACAAACTAAACCAAAAAGATGATTATATGTAATAGGCCCTCTCGTAATGAATAGAACATGAACGGGGTGTAAATGTTGGATGAGCCCGGGCTCTGGGTGTGTTTCAGCAGAGGCCTAATGGCTGAATATTTCATTCCTCTGGGTTAATGCAGAGTGGCGGTGCTGAAAAAGCCGCTCCTCCATCTCTCCAACTGTACAACAAAGCCTGTAATTACTGCTCCTTCCTCTTCATCCATCCATCCATCCTTCAAACACCGCCCCCCTACATCTGGGTCCATCCCTCACTCACCTCGCTCCCTCCTGCCCTCGCTGCCGTCTTCGCTCGCCGAGTTTCTGCTGCTCTCAAGGCTGCCATCACCCCCCCCCCACTCCATCTGTCTCCTCTTTCTCCTCCTTCAGCATCCCTCCTTCCTGAACTTTGTCTATCCTCGCCTCCCTCAGCGCCCATGCTCCCTCTGACTCCAGCAGTAATGAGCCACCTCTGCGGTGGCCCCCTTTCCAAGCCATCTTTTGTTTTGGCCACATTATTTCCCAATTCAGCATCGGGCGTGTGTGTGTGTGAGTATATGTGTGTGTGTGTGTACGTGTGTGTGTTTTTTCCCCGCTGACCTGACAGTCGATACAGACATGATGACGCTCAGCTCCTCTGGCAGATAACTCTGCTCATTAGTTTGTAAACTGCCTGTAGTTGTGTCTCCTGGTGAGTCCGGCTCTCACCAAGCTGTCACATAAAATATGAATGGCCTTGGAGAGCAAGATAACAACCTATCACAAGGCACGGGTTATTCCCAACTTAACTGCTAAGAAGCTGAGGGGGGAGGATTGGAGGACCTGAAGGAGCAGCGGGGAGGGATGACAAATCGCACTGAGTGGCCACAAGCAATGAAAATATGCACATACGTTTTTCTGAGTTGTCATTGTGTTTCTAGAAGCCATTATTTATTAAGGAGAGACCTGCTGAGCGTGCACGCTCTTATGCAACAACACCCTGCTTCGCATTCACGCCGTACCCACACCTACACCTCGCGCCGTCCAATAAAACGACAGCTCTGAGCCGCCGCTCGCTCAGGCCACCAGAGGCCAAATGCATTCACCCGCTCACTTGTTCTGCAGTCGTCGTTTTGGTTTTGCAATATTCATCGTCACATATCTAAATTTTAAATCAACAGAGAAGTCTGTTAGTGTTTGGACAGCGACGCGCTCTGTTGTTTTTGGCTCCTTAAAACCACAACAGTGAATCCCGGCGTTCAGTTTCTGGAGGTTTACCCTCAGAGTCGCCGTATAAATTTAGCGTTTCTGCAGTCCCTTTTGTGCCTGAGGAGTACTAACCCTGAAGAAAAGGTTCCTCTAAACGGGTTCTGGGATTTAACAGAGTTCAGAGTCCAGGTGATGTGGATTCAATTAGAAAAGAGGGATGCTCCTCAAAGTTCCTCAAACTATGGAGAAGTTTCTAACGGGTGTTTTCTGGGACTTCTTGGTCAGTCATAAACGTGTTTAGGACTGACATGAACCTAGAGGACCTAGAGAGTCTATAACCTGGATTGCATTTGGCCTGTTTAGGCTAATCTGTCTTTACGTAGACCTCTGATGGACTGGTGATGATCGGGTGCCAGATAATTGACGTCTAACATGATTAAAATGCTGTTTCTTCAGGGCTGTAAAGTCCTAGTCGACTTATTGGTCGATACATGCTGAGTCGACCAAAATTCTGATTGGTCGACTTGATTTTTTTCCGTGTCAATTTACAGTTTATGGTTAATTTCATCAGGAGGAACGTAACAAGTGCTGATAGGGGTGTTTTCAGAGCACAGGTAACAACCTGTCTCAGAACACCCCCCTTGTTTTGTGAATTTGCCCAACCCACTGGAGACCGACTAGAGATGAGAAGATTGAAGAGCTTCCATGTTAGTCAACGTCTGGTGGTTTACTAAATATTTATATCTGAACCTTTTGTGTTTCATTGTCTTCCTGTGCTGATATCCGTATATTTTCACCCCGCCAAGCCACGTTGTCCACTGCCGCAGAACTGTTTGCCGTCAGAGTTGAAAAATACACCCAATTAGTCGATTTTGGTTGAAAACTTCAAGGTTTTAGTCGACCAAGTATTGCTTTGGTTGATTACAGCCCTATGTTCCTGTAAATAGTCTGGTTCTGCTTGGGGTTTCTGCCTGTTACAGGAAGTATTTTCCTTGTGAAACACTCAAAACAGATCAAGATGGGATAATCTTGGGTAGATCTGATTCTACAAGATGGTTGAGTCTTTGGCTGTGTCCGAAATGGATCCCTAACCCCTATATAGGTGACTACATGGGGGTTCGCGCCATTTTGAGGGGTGTCTGAAATCTCAGTGATCAATTCCAGTGCCCAATATAGGCGACTGAAAATTTCCCATAAAGCATTGCAAAATGTAGTGACCATCAGATTGGTCACTCACCAGTGGCGGGCATCCCGTCATACATTGCGTCTTGCCATGTAGTGTCCGAAACCTCTGGTAATTGAGTTCACTACATAGTCAACTATATAGTAAAATCCCATATGGAGGTTAGGGGTTAGGGATTGAGTGACTCATTTCGGACACAGCCTTTGTAAATATAAGGATATCGTGAATTGATTGGGACTGATGGGGTTTGATTCTTGCCATGCTCTTTTTGTGTGTGAGTGATGCCATCCACAAGCTTTAACTATAGCCAACCAGTCCAAGAACAATCACAGAGAAAAACGGATGACTGATTCCTCCAAGGTTGCCTCCTCTGCCTTTAAACACCAAAAGAAAAGAAAACTGGCGTCTCCCTCACAGCCGGGGTGTCTGCTCCAGGAAACAGTGAACGATTCGCTCTGTCTTTAAAGCAAATGATGCTTCAAGCTCCTTTTCTTGGTGCAGAACATCTAATGAGTCAACACTAAAGCACTTTCTTAATACCACTGACTTCTTTAAAGTCAACTGATTAATTAGCTGAAGGTGAAGTGATGTGTTGTTTGAATACTCTTAAGAATATGATGAGCGGTGGCTCCAGCTTGGGTCTTTGAAAAGGGTCATTACTCAGTTTGAGGGAGAGATGCTATAAGGGCGGAAAAACATCCATTAATCACTTCTTCGCTGTTTTGGCAGTCCGCTTTTGGAGATGCATGGCATAGATGTCAACTTTGACCTCCCGCGGAGTCGCTGGAGCGAAATTTACGAGGGGGCTGTACAGTGCAGGTCCGCCGCCGCTGTAATTCACAGCAGCCCAAATTGAGCGGTGGCGTTTTAACAAGCGTAAGCATGAGGTCACAAAAACACACGATCACGCCTGTTTGAGGAGATTTGGGGATTTTCTTGTAGATTATATGTTTGTGTTTTAAAAACTACAATCAACAGTTAGATGAGGAAGTTTGAAGACGTGCATCATGTGTTCAGCTCTTGACTCAGGAAGACAGGAGCACTTGGGGGTTAGTAATCTCAAGAGAACAGCAGGCTGATGTGATATGTTGTCAATAATTCGACACATAGAAGCACTAATGAAAGGGTTCCTCCGATAAATCGAGCTACTCAGTTGTTAAGAAGCAAAATCGTTTCCCTCAAGCCTTCGTCTAAATCTATACAACTACACAAATCAATCTATTTGTGACCATCAGCCTTACATGTTTCACCTTCTTTTAGCAGCAACACAACACTAAATGGGGCGCTCACATGAAGCGCGAGTAAAATCATCTACTCGCTTAATTCGCGCGAATCTAGACGCTTGAATGAATAGTATAAGTATATATATAATAGTATAAGTGATAGACAAAGGTTTTGTACGAGTTACCAGGTAATTTGACCTTCTCACTCACTTTCCTCCAGGCGAGTTCCTTTTTATATCAGTTTCGGTGATTGAGAGAAAAGGTATCATATAATTTGAGGTACCTACACACCGACACCAGTGAACAACTGTCTGTTTTCATATATCACCCAGCAACCTTTGTGCTGATTAGTTATCGCGACTTGAATATCCACTCAAGTTAAGACATTTTCAGCTACCGCCCAATTCGCATCATTCGCGCCGCCAGAGTAGTACGAGTGCGAATGATTTTACTCGCGCTTGGTGTGTGGAGACGGTAAGAAAACAACTCGACGAGCTTTCTTATTGTATCAACGTTGATTTCTGCAGAAAGCAAAAACCATCAGTGACCCCCTCATCCCTCCTGTCCCTTTATGTGGTTAAAATTAATTGAAGGTTTCATCCTAATCGACCTGCGGTGAACTAGCATGCTGATTGGTTGAGCTGTCAATCTGACTGCATGAATGTTATTTCTTCTCCTGTTTTTTCACTTTCTTTCTTGAAGAGAAGTTTAAGCTAAATGCTGCTTTTGTTATCCAGACTAGCGCTCAGGTCCCACTGTCCCACAGATCAAATACTCTTTTACTAAAAGTCTTAGATTAAGGATACATGGACAGCAAATACTTCCAATACTTCTATAATAGTAATAATAACAGTTTAACCTCCATGGAAGTCTCCAGAGTGATTATTTTACTGTGTTTTAGTTTGATATGGTACAATAGAGTTTCCCTGCTCCTGATCTCTAAAGTGATACTCATGTGTAATTTCTTCATATCCTTAACATAACCTGACTTTACCTCTAATGCAATCATGCAAACTGTCTCTTGAATCCGCCTCATACGAAGCTTCATCATTCTCCTCCACATCCCTGCGGTATAATGAAAGCACCGGCAATTTGCTGATGCCATCTTCCATTACTTCAGGTTTCAAATCATACTGTCTGTAGTATCTGACAACAACGTCTCACTGCCATTAAGACCTGCCAACATACAAAACTACCTCATGCAACTTTTATATCTCATGGACACCTTTAATCCCCTGACAGAGAGAGAGAAAAAAAAAGAAACATCACAGCAGATCCTATTTTGAGAAAGTGTGTCACCGTCAGCTTCAGCGTATTCTCTGCTGAGCAGCTGCAGCTCAGTGTTTTACTTCAACATGACGGGACTGTTCGCACTCACTGCTCCTACTTTTACCAACAAATAAGTTATACACCACAACTCACATTAAATACACAAAAACACTGATTCAATATTTGTAAATTCATAGCAGCTTTGGTGAGTCTGTGCAGCTAAGTCAGGTCTTGTGGGAAAAAGTCCAAAAGAGCCGGATGAGAGTGGATAAATCGAGTCATATAAGGTGGGACTTTCACTTAAAAGCTGGGTTAATTTTTTACCAAGAAAAATCTTTAAAATATTCCGAAGGGTACCACAAAACAGACTGCAAAGATTGTGTTCAAACTGGAGCTGAAGGGCATCATGGCTGAAAGGGTTCCTTGAAACAGTTGCACAGAGTACCTTTGAATACATGCTGGAGGTGTGACTACCTTAAAGGGTCAAACACACTGTAACACCGAGTTAGACACCCCGTCGAGAGATGAATGTTGCCGACTGCTTGCTTCTCTAGTTATACCAACTTTAGTAATGACTGCAGGATAGCAATACACAGAGAGCCACGTGCTCAACCAAAACGCCACTCTATAGCCACAAATAATGACCAGAACAGCACCTAACTTCATCAACAGGACATGTAGGGTCACAGACATAGTACTAGACACCAAACATCTTTTTAACTTTGACTGATTTCTTTAGCAAAGAGACTAAACACAACTCATCGTCTCTCTTCCAGCAGCCGCTTGTTTGTATGAAGACCTCCATCGACTGCAGTGGGGTGACGCAGCTCAAGGAAGAACATTTCTGATAATTTCTATATCATTTCCTTGAAATTATAATCATCATATTAATCATTTTACACTGCAGACACGGTAGTTCTTATGCCTTAGACCTCGGTCTGATTGTATTTCCATGAAGAAATGATCATAAATGTTCTTCCTTGAGCTGCGTCACCCCGCTGCAGTGTTGTTATAGTGTGTTTGACCTCAACTTGATTTAATGCCGTAATATCCCTTTAAAGAGCTGCCTTTAACAATATTTTAGGGTTCCTTAACTCTGTACCCTTAAAAAACTGAAAGGTAATAAAAGCTACTAAATGACATAAGATGGTGCAAAACTGGTTAAATCAATGACAGGGGGCACCTTAAGGGTACCTTGAAACAGATGCCTTAGAATGAACAGCTGGAGTGATTCTTAATCGAAGCTGTGAGGAGTTCTCCAAAACATGTGTCTCTTAAAATGATCTTGAAATAATCAATAACTCATTTGAGTATCATCTCTTTTTTTAAGGCCACTCTGTGTCGTCTTTAAGCGTCCACACTGAGCAGCGTCCCCTCAGAGACCTTCATTATCCTCTCGTTTAAACTTTGTGTGCGTTTAGGACATTTATCATTATGCTCTATGAAATCCATGAAGGCCATCCATACTAATCACTTCATTTAAGTCATTATTTAAGTTCTGCAGAGTCTCCATCTCAGCCTCACTCATCCAGAGAATAATTGCTGTCGCAGAAAACAAAACACTTGACTTTCTGTCCTCTCCAGTGGAAGGAAAAAAAGTAACTCCTCATTTGTGTGCAGCCTCTCTCTTTCCCAAACCCCCAACAAGAGGAAAAAAATGCAGTGTAGTCTGAGTAAACAAACCAGATCTGTCTGTCTGCCACTTCTTTCTGCTCCTTTGCACCCCTTGCGATGCCTTTTCTGTCTGTTCTTCACAATCTTTGTCTTTCTAACCCCTTGGTTTTGTGGCTTCCTGCTGCATTAGAGTAAATAGGTAATTAATCTGTGCCTCGGGGGCTAACAGCAGCACACACCAGCCCTGCGGCTTGCCCAAGGGCTCAGAGGCAAGACAGAAGCCAAGAGTGGGTTGTTACTCATCAGATGCAGCAGACACACCTGCAGATCCACTCGGCTGCTCCTTCCAAACACCTCCCGATAACAGCTCTATTTGCCCTTTTCTTTTGCACCTCTTTAACTCCTCTGAAAAATGGAAGCTTTTCATTATGTAAAGAACTTATTTTCCCCCGTGCGCGGTCGGAGAGAGCGAACGAGGGAGCAGAAACTCTTGTAGCTGTGCCAGTTCGCCCACTCACCTGCAGCAATGGAGGCCAGACGGACGTAGTCGGAGCCCCTCTCCTCTGGTTCATACGGGTAGCTCTCCACCAGGCTGAGTCCTGCCGAACAAAGGGGAGAGATTAGTCTTGTTGTCATGACAACTGAAATAAATGTTGCTCTGAGCTTGTTTTTATTTTTTATTTCTTTAACAGCAGAGATCGTCTCCTGAAGTTTCCTGGAATATCAGAGTCATAAAAGTTTGAAACTTAAAGGGACAGTTCGGCGTTTCTGAACGGGAATGCGCAAGTTACCCCCGATTTCCACCACATCCGGAACGGCTACGAAAAAGCCGTATCCGCTGATCACAGCTGATTGTAACCATTTAAGATAATATGGCAATTTCCATCGGCTTCTTTCCGTTCCGCTGCGGATAACCAGACTCCGCAGCTGGTCAGAAGAGTTCTATTTTTTCCGGACGCTGGAGCATGCCGGGTAAGTTCGGCACAGATTAACCCGTGCTGAAAAGGAAGTCGGGCACAGACACAAAATAAAACATCCGGCTTCTTTTCAGAATAAAACAAGAGGATTGCATTTCACACCATTCAAACTGGCGGGGACAAACGAGTGAAAGGTTTAAAGACATAATTTTACTCCGATGACACCATTGATGAGAAGATGCTGATTCTAGAAGTCTAGAAGTAGATTCCCTCCCCTGGAAGGACACAATCTACAGCTTATATGTCTATGCGGCTGTCTTTACAGAGACAACTTGTTATTGCGTGAATCCGTGGATTCTTGTGAGTTGTTGTGATTCCCGCCGTTCGTAACCCGCCATGAAATTTTCCTCACAAATGGATCTGGTAGGAATTGGCAGACAGCGAAAATGGCCACCGTTGGGGTTAGAGCAGAGTCATCATCCATTTCCAATAATACTCATATTTATGATTTATCATCAGCTCTGTGATTAAAACATCTTTAGAGGACACATTACTTCATAAAAATACGTTTCATCATGCTTTTATTTTGAATTTTTTTATCCTGTGTTGTCAAACTATGCTTTTATTTTGAAGGTCAGGCTACATTTGGTAGATCATAGGTTACAGAGCTGAATGAAAACGGATAAAATCACAGGAAGTATGGGCTCAATTGAGGAGCGACTAGCTTTAAAAACAGGCTGCTAAAGCTAGCTCACTTGCAGTCAGATACTTCTTCTTCTATCCTTCTACTGCGGACCATCGGAGAGTCCATGACAAATTTCCCTATGGGGACAATTACAGATTATAAAAATGACATGAAAAATGAAACGAAAGCTAAGAAGAGCCCCCCTCTGTGACTGTGCATGTACCCAATCCAGAGAGAAAACTCCTCACAGTTCTCAGTTCTGGTCCCGGTCACTTAAGTACCCTCAGAAATGTGTTCCTTGGTCTGATGGGTATTAAAGGTTTTTGATAAATCTCATAATGAAAAATAATGACTTGCTGTGTCAGCAGTTTCCAGGCCACCCTGTGCTATTTAGGAGTCGGGTTTGTTTGAAGCCACTTGGTAATCAAGCCTCAACTACGATGAAAAGCTGCAGCTCCACAGCAACAAAAGGGAAGTCACACGAGGTTAAAAACCAATTAGCCGTCTTCTGAGTTATAAAACCAGTTTGCCAATCAGCGCTTCAGTGTGTATGTTCTCAGAGCGGCGTGAGGTTAGTGAAGGGGCTGTAAAGAGGCTGTGTAGTCTTTGCCAAACCGCATTTAACACGAGTGAATAAACGCTGCAATCAAAGCTAAAGGGTCTCATAACCGTGTCAAAACATACCAAACACCCAAAATTACTTTGACAAAGACCCATAGAGCATAATTTAAAGATCTGCAAGTCAAAGCATGTCAAAGATTTTCGATGTTTGGGGAACTCACTTCTGTGTTTAGAGCATTTAAATGACTGGATTTCAGTGAGGAGCAGGTCATAACTGCATATCAAATAGACAGCAGAGTAAATTGCTATTGAGGGAGGGAGATAGATTTAATCTGTCAGTGCCCGATGGCAGCAGAAAGCATCTATGCTCAGTTGTGTGCAAAAAGGGGTTGGTGCATGCTGAGACACAGGATCTGGATCACTAGAAACAGCCTGGACTCCGAACATCAGGAGCATCTCTAGCTGCGTTTTCATTACCCATAGATTTGCGCAAAACCTAAATATTGCAATAGAAAACTGGTCATGGAAACACCTAAATTTCGAAAAACCTCTCAAATACAGCTAAAACCGCTAAAAAGTGGTTTTTCAGACGTGACGATATAGAAGTATATCGCAAAAGTGTAATGGAAAAACTATTCTCGCAATTCTACGTCACCTGACGTGACGTAGCGGGTCATGTGATCATGCTTCCGAGTGGGAACTGCCTCCCGAGGCTCAATAGCATCACAGTTCATAGGACGTATCCCGGGTCATCCTGAAGTTTTGATTCCACAATTCGTCTGTGAATTCCTCATTAACGATCCTCTCCCAGAAATCCCTCATCCGTGTCCGCTCCCATACATACGGGCTTTGTCTTTGAATTATCACCCGCTGCCTTCGTCTTCTGATGACAGCAGCGGCAACAGCAGTAATGGTCACAGAAACAGCTGCTCCGAAACGCAAAATGTTTTGTATCTCCTCAATGGAAACACCCGCAAATCGCAATTGTACTTTGTCGAAATTTGACAAACATCGCTTTTGTTTTGCGAAAACATGTAATGGAAACGCAGCTTATGTGGACGAAGGATCCAAACCCGATCTTGCATGATACGATGGATCCCAGACAACTTGAGCAAGATCAGACCGCCTTTAAATCTTTAAAAATATCACATGTTTGAGTGGATTTGGACTATTTTACATATTTTCTTATCACAGCGGTCTACTGGTTGTTTGGATTGTACCACATTGATGTTTTTGGCCTCGAAATAACTCCAATCGATACATGAATCTGAGGCGGCTGCGCTCGATTGTTCGCTCACTGGGTACATAATCTTTACACCATCTTTTATTAATTATATTTGACTTGCAGAATTTGAAAATACTCCCGACCTTGCCCTGCTGTTGATCCTTTTTTAGTTTTTTGGCGTTCTCGGTGTGTAAGAGCGAGAGTGAATGTAGGAAAACAAACTGAGGATCAGAAGATGACACTGTTGGAGGGAAGCGTTTGAAACAAGCCTAGAAGTGATCAAATATAATGAGTGTGGGTAGAACAAAAGGAATTAGAGCCTCGGTTTGAACTATTTTTACATAATCATCTCTTCTCTTTAGCTCGGAATTTACTGTTAAGCTGTGCGGAGGTGGAGGAATAATTCATGTGTAATGGGCGGCACACACTGGATAATCCCGCCGCCGTACTGTACCTGCCGCTGCCCACTCCTCCTAAAACCACAACCATCATCTCACCGTGCAGCACGGACTGGTGCAGACTCCAGTAGATACTCAGGCAGTTCTTCTCCTTCTTCATGCCTCGTTTACACTGGCAGCCGTGCAGAGGAGTGGACAGCAGCGCCGTCATGGCGTTCTCACACTGGTTTCGCGCCCCGGGCCCCAGCTTCACGCTGCCGTCTCCTGCCACACACTGCCTGAGGGTGCGCAGTCGCGGGCTGCAGGTGTCGTCGCTGGAGCAGGTGTCTCCGGCTTGCAGGCAGTCCCTCCTGCCCATAGAGAGCGCCAAACGTGGAACTCCTGGGAGAAGAAGAGGCAGACAGAGGACGGGTTAGTCTCATGGCGAGGTCTGAGTTTGTTTTGTGTAAACACCTTCAAGGAAACATTCAAAACGCTATTTAGGGCGTACAAAGAAAACCACAAAGCTAATTCACCAAACTCATGAAAACACAAACAAGACAATCTGCCGGGCTGCGAGCGAAGGAACAAGAAGAACTCAATCACACAAAGAAAACTCACTGAAAAATGTCTTGTCATATTTGATAAAGGTGGACAAATGTTTGAGAGACAAACCTGCAAAATTTTCCTCCAAATTATTTCTTGATTTTACCTTTTGGTGTATCAGAAGTTTTCGAAACTACACCTCAATCAACAATCCTCTGATTTCTCTGGAAGAACTTTGACAGGAGACATTAGTTATTTGGCAAAACTGTCAAAATCATCCCTGAAAAGTGAGAAAGGAGCAGATATTTTCACCGTTTAAGATGCTTTTAAGCCTCTCGCTAATGCGTCTGTCACCTGTTTTGGAAAATAATATGTGAACTAGGAGACGGGTCGGTAGGTAAGAGTTAAAGATGGCTAATTGGTGGAGCTTTGGGACAGGATGTATGAGTGTTAAAAGTTATTTTCAAGGTTCAGAGTGTGTCTATTTTTGACGTTCTGTTGGGTGGTATTATGCTTTTCCACATTAACAACAAAAAAAGCAAAGTTACAATGTTTGGTGTCCATACTCGAGGTAAATTTACAAGGTAAATCCTTGAAAAAATGGTTGGTTGGGAGATCGTACGATATCTCATTGAGACTCGCTAACTATTGATGTCATTTCAATAGACTTTCATTAGTTGGCCAATCAGAAGAAAGTATGTTTGGTGTTTATACTTGAGGTAAATTTATGAGGTAAATCCTAGAAATAGATGTAGACCTCAGAAACGGTTCATTGGGAGATCGTACGATATCTCAATGAGACTCACTAACTAATGACATCATTGGAATAGACTCTCCTTAGTCGGCCAATCAGAAAAAAGTAGGTCTTAAAGAGACAGCAGCGAAAACGAAGCGTTTCAAACGGAGGCTGAAATAATGATATTTTAATAAACTAAAATGAGAAACAGGAGGCTTTTTGTTAACGTAAAGCTATTAAAGAGGAATCAAAGCGGAAGTATAATGTGAATCTGACCAATAAAGCTCATATTTCAGCTTAACTGTCAATAAAAAAGTTCTGTTCATGCTTAGGTACACTCGCTGATACTCTCTACTGCATGTAAACTGACCTCTAATTTGTGAAAAAGCGTTATTCTGTCTTTAACCTCGACTAATGAGCGTATGTTAGAGTTCATGATCCGCTGAGTCTCCGCCAAAATAATGTAAATCGTATTGAATATAATAACTGTATTACATTTCAGCTTCCCCTGTCAGAAACTATCAAACTCGTCCAACGATGCATCACACTCCTCGTATCCCAGCGTTTCAAAATGATATTCATAAACCCAAGAGGGGGGTGCTGTATTATTCATGAATTCATACAGTCGTCACAAAGAATACATCTGCCAACACTGACTGGGTTTTGATGGGACTTGGGGGGGAATGATGCATCTCTCCAATACATCCTGACATGTTCAGAATTAGACTGAAGAGTTTGAGCGCCAGTCAAAACAAAATGTCATATTTGTTACAGATTGGCCCGGAGACGGGGGCGCAGCATTGTGTGTGTGTGTGTGTGTGTGTGTGTGTTTACTGCCTTCATGTGGTATTAATAACATGCAGGCTGTATTCCCCGGAGGACGGTAAGTGCTTGTTTATTCCCAACTGTCTTAGAGCTCTGAGACTTGAAAATAATGTACTGCTTATTAATCTATTCACTTGTGTGGTGTGGCGAACACGTGCATTGACTAAAATATACAATTACAGGAGCGTTGTCATGTAGTGAAAGATGACTAGGTCCAATTTTATAGAGTTTAAAACCACAAATAAGCCGAAACAGAGAGTGTAGCTGCGCAGGAAGTGGGAAGTCCAGTGAGGTAGTAGAAAGATAAAGAGTACTCGGGGTGGTGTGTGGCGATGATGAATGGGCTACACTTTCACCAAGGAGAGCCTGGATTGAGTTTTGAGATAAAGAATAAGTCTGTGTGGAGTTTTCTTGTTAACACACACCACAATGTCTTTTATTAACCAAACCGTGTGCCTAAAACTAATCAAACAGAACATTTAATCAGTATTGTGTTAGAAAATAGAGGAAGATAGAGGAGCTGATGTGGACCTTAGTGCAAGTAACTGCAAGAGAAACACAAGGAGAGACAAACGTCAGTATCCAGGTCTTCAGGTGGAGAAAAAAAAAAGATCGAACTATTATAGAAAACATCCTTAATGCTGAATTATGCTAATCAAATGGCGTTCCACAAGGCTCTGGATTGGGTCCCCTCCTTTTTAATATTAAACTATTATGTAACTTCTGTATTTTCAGGCTCTACGATATGCTGATGACACAGTTTTGCACCACTTTGCGAGCACTGCTCATGATTTGAGGTCATCAGGTGTCATTATTACACATTTAACGATCTGGCTAATGCTAACATTTCACAAGAAAACATGCTAGCTACTTTTTGCAGCTCACTTTGGAATACAATACAGTCGACTTTGTTGCAATAATTGCCATCTTTATGCCTGGATTGTGAAGCTCAAATGTTGTTTTCATGTGTTACTGTTGTGTGACGGGCTGTAAGTCATATTAACAAATAAAATAAACTACGTTAAGTTACTGCTCTCCCATTGAAAAGCATCTAAAAACACAATAATTAGTTAAAAGAAGGACAGACATCGGGGTACGTTTCAAGTTGAAAACATAACATGGGTGCATAGCTGACATTAGCATTTAGCTTCTTCCTCGGTAAAAGTCAAGTTTAGTTAGGGTGACCATATGTCCTCTTTTACCCGGACATGTCCTCTTTTTGGGGGGCTGTCTGGTTTCGTCCGGGGGAGTTTATAAAATCCTTCAAATGTCCGGGGTTTTGTATGGAAGTTTTGAGTTTGTGTTACATGGACTTACCGAGTTAGAAGCACGTAAAAGACACTCGATGAGACCCGAAAAACTCTCAAAATTAAGTACAAGCAACTCCGTGACTCCAACCCCACGTAGTCATGTCTTCTTTTTGGGGATTTGGAATATGGTCACCCGATTTTTAGTAATCACAGATACAACGAAGAAGGTAACCATAAGCTTACTTAAGCAAAGCTCTTGCTTGTGTTGGTATCTATTTCTTAGCTGGCCAACGACACAATAATCAATTTTAGTTTTTATTTCTTTGCTATTTTTTAAATTGTTGAAAGAGTTGGATACATGAGTGAGATTTTTCATCATAGCACTGTTTTATAATGATGAAAGTAAATCCACAGGTGTTATGGTGTAAGTAATGATCCTGTTAACTGATGACTTTCACTCAAATACTGATGTAGTTGTCATGGTAACAGGCTGAAAGTCATCCGTTAACAATGGTTTTTGAGATGTTTGACCCAGACCAATCATTTATAACCTTCTGATAGAAGTAAAGAAAAGTTACAAAGTTCTCCAAAGTCCCTGAGACTCTTTATCTGGTCCTCAGGTAGAAGCCAACCATAGATAATAGCAGTCCCTCTGAAAGTGTTTGAGATATTTCAATCTGGCCGTAACAGGCGATAGGCCAATGGACCAACAGGGCCATGCTGTTAGCTTGGCTAACAATCTCATAAACATAATGATGTGCCAGCCAGTGCAAACACAGAGCTCACAGCCAAAAACTGCTCTTACCACGGAGAACTATTTTCACTCTGGTGGAAAGCCCAGAGTTTTAAAATACTGAATATGTCAGGCTGAATCTTGGAGAAATGTGTGCAAAGTGATGAACAAGACAGACGAGACATTTCTGTTTCAGGGATCGGTGTAGTCATAAAAAGATGAAGTTTGAACATGTCTACTTTCACTGTGCAAATATTATAAAGCTCCCGTAAAGAGCAGGAACAGACAGGGAGAGGAGTGATATGAAAGTATGGGTTAAAGTGTTTTCAGGGGGAAAAAAACGTGAAACTGAATGTCAAGGAGTTAATTACATGTCTGCTTTATCACCGCTGCTGTATAATGGGTACCAGCCCATGATAAAATCATAGTGATTAGGTTTTAACAAGTGAGAAGAATCGGTTATCTGGTGCTTGACAGACTTCCTGACAGCATTTCTGTCTCAATGACTGTCACGTGTGACTTCTCGTGCAGTGGGCTGGTTCATTAATTAAATCTCAATCAAATCTGATCCCGTCGCAGCTCAATCAAGTGATAAGGAGTAAAAACAATAACAAATTAAAAGCTGGTGTTTCACAAAACTGTCATCAAATTCAACATCTTCCTCTGGCTCAAACTCTCCCTGGGATTCCTGCCAAAAGAAATGATCAGATAAAACAGAAAAAGGTACAAGGGATCTGAGTCGAGTCTACATCCTCCGATGAAACATGCTGTACCTGCTTTATGCCCAGAAGGAGACCTCTTAACCTTTTGCAAAGAGCCGGCTAATCTGTTGACAAGCTAAAAAAAAAAAGAAAAATAGACATTTGAGGGTGCTCTGGTGCAGGCAGAGGGAGATTCTAACTGTGTTGCTGCATGAAACAGCATCTCTGACCTTATTCTACTCCTGCAGAGGATCTGTGATGTGGATTTGATGGCATGCCCGGTCAGCGTTTTTGTCACTCTCTCTTAATTTATCATTTTGGAAAACCATCGCTCTGCATTTTGACAACCAATCAAACGGTGTTCCACAAGGTTCTGCACTGGGTCCCCTTCATTTTACGGTTAACTAACTCAGTGCCAGGTTCATTTATGCAATATTCACCCAGTGCCACCAGGGACCGCAACGGAAATTTCTGTATCTTTCAAGACCCACAGAATATCTTGGACTAGAATTAAGTGCAATATCTCAAAAGAAAGGGGTGATTCTCTCCTTTCACCAGAAAGAAAAGTTAGTTTCTAACCCACTCCTGTGTTTAGTTATTACCTACTCAATGCACAGTGGTCATATCATCTTTACCGATCTGGAAATGAAACCTGAGAAAAACATTAAGGAGAGACTTTCAAGCCGAACTCTGAGCGTCTGTTTCATTTCACTTCAAACTACTTAACCGGTGGCATCAAGTTCCTCCTTCCTCGGACACCACTCCTCAACACTCGATTGTGATAGGTCACTTTGCGAAGGCTGGGAGTCTCATTGGCTCTCAAGAACCTGGCGCCGCATAAACCACACGGACTGCTCACATCCTCCTCGCCAGGTTTGTCGCTGAATTCCGGCTCAGTCTCGCTCACCAGTACCAGCACCGGCGGCACAACAACACACCGGAAAATCGTTTCTTTGATTGTCTGCTGACGATGTGAAGGTCCGGTACAGGGATCTCTACTGGATCCAGAGACGGTAGCACCGCGCCTAAGGGAGCTGATGCGTCAAGACCGTTAGCTCTCGGCTAATGACTTCGGCATTTACCTACTCTCCTCATAGAAAAAAAACACTCCACAACTCGGCTAATGGGCACACTTGATGGCACACTTCTTACTGGCGAGTACTTGTTTTTGTAATTGTAACATAATTATGATGTATTTGTCGGCTTTTCTGCGTTCAGAACGACCCCAAACTGAGTTGCATGTTAGGGAGGAGCGCCCTCTGGCGGAAAACAAAAAAACGGAAAAAACCGTCAATGGCACTGAGTAAGTTAATATCGTAATAAGAATGTTAGTATTTTCAAATGGCTTATACAGTTCTGTAGCTGATTTGCAGAAGCACACAGATAGATGCTGAATTATTATAATAAGCAGTGGTCACAGTTAGATGTGACAGGCATTCGCTGTGTCTATGTAAAGATCTGTGACGATGGTTTTCAACTGTGCATCATCATTTTATTAAAGCTGTTGTTGTCACACCTGTTCAAGTGAGAGGCTTTTCATAAGAAAACAAACCAGGTAAATATTTCACATGACAAATTAAGCGCCGACACGTTAAAGGCTGCTGTTTCACAAGACTGTCACTGAATTCAACATCTTCCTCTGGCTCAAACTCTCCCTGGGTTTCCTGCCAAAAGAAATGATCAGATAAAACAGAAAAAGGTACAAGGGATCTGAGTCGAGTCTGCATCCTCCGATGAAACATGCTGTACCTGCTTTATGCCCAGAAGGAGACTTCTTAACCTTTTGCAAAGAGCCAGCTAATCTAGTGGCAAGCTGTCAATAAAAGCCTTTGCAGACGGAAAGGCGAGGAAAGCGTGGTGCTGTTGCTGTAGGTTTGGGATGTTTGTGGATGGTATTTAGAGAAAGCAACTGGCACTCAGGTGAAGAGCTCATCTTCTCCGAGGTCTTGACAGGCAGCGCTTGCTGTACCAAAATATCTACCCCCCCCCTCGACAAGTCACTTATTCCACAGCAGAGCCTTGAAATCAGATTTAGTTCCCGTAAAGCAAAACGGAGGGAGGAAAAAACTGCAGGGTGAGATAATGTCATTCGTTTTTGATGCAAATCAGCTCCACTTGTTGAGTTTTCTCGGATCAAGTGACGCCACCTTGGAAAAAAAAAAGCGGAGGAATCAGACTAATGTCATGATACTTCACTTGCTCAGAGAAAACTCTTAAAATGCAAATCTGCATCAAAGATTCGAGATGTTTTTTTTTTTCTTTCCTCTCAGGCTGTGGTGGTTATCTTCACTCATTTTAAACAATATTCAAACATATTCAGAGTGATTTCTTTTGCTGCTCTTATACAACCGTGTGGGAGTGCAGGTGGGAGCAGATATGTGGGAGGTGTGTGTGTGGGTGTTCTGATATGAAAGGTGGAGAGCAGAAGAAGATCCTCAAGTAAGGTTTGGCTTCCCTTTCGGCTCCAGGCGTAAGAAATGAAAGCCCCCGGTGTGCAGAAACAAATCGTATTAAATCGCGGCTAATCCAGTGTGCAGAGAGGTTTGATTTTTGTCGGAGGAATTAAGCAGCGCTGCAGATTGAGAGAGATAGCTTTTTGCCTGGAAACAGAGCTGCAGCGGTTCAAAGAGAGACAGTCAAAACCAATTAGGAGAAATCAGTCGGCTTGTCATTCAGATTGGTTCCATCTTATATCCTTTTCTGTTTATCCCACTGAGGTAAATAATCTCCCTCTCTGTCTATCTGCCGTTTTGTTTCTTCCCCTCTTTGTTTCCTCTCTGTCATCCTCTCCACCATCTCTCTCACCCCTCACTCGCACACAAGCACACACCTGGTTATGTCCAAGGAGCAAATACTGAAATTTAAAGAGAGATTTTCAAGAAAGCGGCTGCCTGAAAGCAAAACCAAATTCACGTTTCATTCTTTGGATCACAGACCGCTCCGGCTTCATCTTCGCTGCACAAAAATAAGAAAAGAACCGACAGTTGTGCTGCTTTTAAAATGAACCATGTTTCAAACCACTCCAATTTAATAATTACAGTGTGAAAATCAAGTTTAATCCTAAAAGCACATTAACCTCAAAATTAGCCGAACAACTACAACAGCCTCTCCGACCCCTCCTGATTCAAGCTTTTTAAAAACCTGCAGCTCCACCTCTGGTACTTGTTCCCAAACTCATGATGGGTTCTTCTGACCTCTTTTATCAGCGGTTATAAAAGAAAGAGGCTGTCATCTCCAAATCAGGAAAAAATTAAAAGTTTTTTGTTCTTTTAACAGTTTTTTTCCCCACAGGAATAATTTCGAGTACAAATTTGATTAAAAAGTTTTACCAGAAAAAACTTTTTTTTGTTTTTTGTTCTTCTAACTGTTTTATCCACGGGAATAATTATTCCTCTTTTCCCCAAATCAATAAAAGTTTGATTACTTTTTTTTAAACAAATAAAAAAAGGAAAAAAAGCCTTTGTTTTTTGAAGAATTATCCTCTTCTTCCCCCAAACTAATACAGGTTTGATTAAAGAGTTTTTAACAAAAAAATAAAGAAAAAATGTTTTTTTTTTTGAAGAATTATCCTCTTTTTCCCCAAAATAATTTCTGGTTTGATTAAAGAGGGATTTTTTAACAAAAAAAGCCTTTTGTTTTTTGAAGAATTATCCTCTTCTTCCCCCAAAAATACAGGTTAGAGAGTTTTTAACACACACAAAAAAAAAGAAAAACGAAAAAAAAAAAAAAAACAACAAAATGTTTTTTTTGTTGTTGTTGTTTTTTTTTTGAAGAAGAAGAAGAATTCTTCTCTTTTCCCCTCAATAGTTACTTGTTTGATTACAGAGGCTTTTTTGTTTGTTGTATTCTTTATATTTTTTGTTTTTGAAGAATTATTTTCTTCCTCCCTCAACAGTTACAGGTTTGATTAAAGGGGATTTTTTTTTGTTGAATTTTTTATATTTTTTATATTATATATATTTTTTTATATTTTTTTATTTGTTTTGAAGAATTATCCTTTCCCCCCCCAATTTAATACCTTTGGCCCTCTACCTGCTGTATGCTATCTTTTAGCTGAGGGGGAGCAGGCTGCTTTCTGGAGCCAGTTTTTTTGGCAAAGCTTATTCTGCATAAAAACAAGTAAAACCCCAACAGTAACAATCAGCGATTTTGGCGCAAACATTAACAACCAAAAAAAAAAAAAACCCGGTAAAATTTAAGGTCAGCCAGTGTGCATTCATACAGTAAGGGTCTATGTCCACTGATGGCATTTTTCAGGACAAGTCTCACCTGTGCTTCATGTTGATGGTCACAGAGACTCTCTACAACTTTCCAAAGTCGTGGTTGTTATGTCCGTTTTAAAATGCTCTGTAACTTTGTCTTTGCTGTTTGTCAATGCATGAGTCCTTAACAACACAGAGGAAGTTTTTTTTTTTTTAAATATAAGCTCCTGTCCTGCAATCCAGGCACTAGCAACAGGTCTTGTGAGAGCTGCAATAGCTGCTTGATCACTGCGAAATAACAGCCAGTGGTGTACTCAGGAAGAGGGGCACCAGAAAAGTTTCTTCTGCGGTACAAGTACAGCAGAAGTGAACTGTTGGATGCTCTCAGTGTGAAAAAAAAACATTATAAAATCTCTGGTTTCCTTCTTATTGACAAGCAAGGAAAAATGTTTTTAGCTGTAGTAGCCGCTCTTTTACAGGATAAAACAGGATGAACTGTTCTCTGGATACACTTCCTGTGAGGACCATCTGGATACCCATTCAGTATCCAAATCTTCAAACACAGCGTCCTCTAGATGCCTTTCCAGTGAATATAACATAAAAACAGTACTATCTGGATACCTATTTCAGTATATAAAATGTAAGAAATGTCCTCTGGAAGTTCCCTTATATTTTAAAAAACATGGGAAAGTGCCCTTTGGTTGCACTTGCAGGATACAAAAACACTGAAAAAATGCCCTTTGGATGCCTTCCCAGAATGGTAATTAAGCCTTATTATGCTGCAAATGTTAAGTTAAAATGCATGAATGAGAGCCAAATGTAGTGTTTATTAAGTCTTTTTATCTTCACTGTTTAATTAATTTATTCTGTCATCTGATTTACAATTTACCACTTAGTTTAAATATGAATATCTACAAAAAATAAAAGATCTGATGTGAGCCTCACACAGGGAGTATCACTAATTTTTTAATGATTAGGAATAATAATGTTTTTTCATTTTGTAAATTTCCAACACTTCATGTTACATAATAATCATCAGAATGCATTAAATTAAGTGATAGATGCTCTAAATTTACTGAGGGGAGAAACTATGGATGCTGCTCCTCAAACAGCAGAGTTTAAAGATGTGAGGGTTACTTTATTTCTGTTTAAAGCTGCATCAGGCCAGAAAAATCAAGCTCCATTTACTCAATTATGAGTGATGATTTTAATTTTTGCTCAAAAGTACATTAAATATTTGAAATCTGAATAATAGATCTTAAAAACGGACATTTACGGCTAAATTCTACCAGATACAGAATGGCAGCCTGATCAAATATGCAAGCATTATAATCAATGTGCGTGATTCCACACAATGCGTCAGCCGTCCGGCTCTGCTATGGATCGCTCGGGCGGTCGGATCAGATAGTCGGTTAGTCAAGGCATCTATTTTTGCAGGACGCAGCAGCACATCGCATCAATTCAGTGCAGTGCAGCACGAGCAGCAGCGGAAGTTGTAAGTGGCTACAAAGTAAAATATCTGGTTAATTTTCAAAATAAAATAAAGTCAATACCTTGAACTGTTCTTCACGTGATAATGGGAGGGGACAGGGTTGTGGGGTGTGGGTGTTTATATTCACCGCCGATCTCATTCAATGTCTCACGGTGAAACATGCCAGATTTTGTGAGATCTAGTCCATATCTCGTGAGAAATATTGGTAATATCACAAGTGCTTCTCCTCTGCTTGCGGCAGCGGATCGAATCTGGTAGGCACTGTATGCTTGGGTTTTTTTATCCACCTGCCATTCCGGAGCGGAGCGTAGTGGATCTGCATGTGATGGAATCCCAACGTTAGATGAGGAAACAGAGTGATTGTTTAGGAAGTCTTCACTCTTTTACACCAGCAACTGATCAAAACAACAGAAACTAGACCAAACCAGTCAAACAGCAGGACAAATGTCTGATTTTAAAGGATAAGTAGGAATGACATGGACAGCAGAGAGATGCCTCTCCCCTACTGGTGGAAAGAGGAATAACAAGGATGAAGCTCAGAGAAGTTGTCATCGCACTGATTTGCAGGACGACAGGATAAGGTTTTACTGTAAAGGATTTAACAGCTCAAATGTCTTGTAACTTCAAATATGCTTAGTCATGGTATAAACTCTTAATGGTACGAACGTTTTTTTGATCGGTGTTCCTTGTAATTATCAAGGTTAGTGTTAACTTGTATTTCAGTGAACGCAGAGTGAGATTTTCTTGATTGTTTATAAGCATCAATACCAATTTGAAGCAAATTCCCAACAGCTTTAAGAAAGTTCACCCTACAACCAACATCAAACCACTGCCATTATCCTCCTTTCTCTGTCCCGGCTCAGTTATCTCCTCGGAGTAAACGGCTGTGCAGACAGGGAGAGAACTCAGGAGAACTCATCTCATCTGGTGGCTCCTCACGTCTCTCTGCCTCCCACCTAAACCCCAGGCTCCTCCACAGCCACCGGGCATCAGTCACTGCCATCAGCCACCAGCTATCAGCCAAGCAGACAAAGTTTCCTTTAAAATCTATAAGCGCTTTCTTCTCCCCACAGAAAGAACTGCATTCCCACTACGTCACGCAAAGGAGAGTCAATAAGATTTAATCCTCGATAACTGATGTTCATCATCGTAAAGAGTCCATACCGTGAATGATGATGATAAACTGGGACCGGAGCAGAGCTATCGATGACAATGATAAAATGAATTATGTGACTCAGCTTTTGTTGTTAGTCAATATCCCTGCAACAACTTTACTGCTAACTCATCTTTAAAGTTGTGCTCCCAAAGAAAAACAATGGGCAGAACTTTTTATTTGACTGTTGGATGACAAAACGCTCTGGAGTCAAACGAAGTTAGACACAAACATCTGAATGTCCAGGGAAAATACTGCACAATTTTTCTGCAGACCTACTCATCTGTCTTTTTATGTCAGTCTGAGCAAAGTTTTTACATTTTTGAGTTATGGCTTTTTATGTACAGGCAGAGCTTAATTGTGAACTTTTGAACAAACTTTGTGGACACTCTGTGCTCAGCCAAGAAATTATACTTTTATACTTTTATAGGTTTATTCCAGGTGATGAACCAAGCATAACCTCCAGCACTGAAATATGATGCTGGTGCAGAAGTGCCAAAATCTGCAGTACCTCAAATGTCCACTTGAGGCTGGCTCTAAAAGCTCCATGAGCCACATACACACTCATTCTTTATAGCAACATTAACACTTTTACAACCTGTTTTAAGTGTTAAGTGTAAAGTCCAAGTCGACAGGTCGACTTATTGGTCGATACATGCTGAGTTGACCAAAATTCTGATTGGTCGACTCAATTTTTTTTCCGCGTCAATTTACAGTCAATGGTTAATTTTATAAGGAGGAATGTACCAAGTGGTAATGGGGGTGTTTTCAGAGCACCCTCGTTTCACAGGTTACAGCCTGTTTCAGAACACCCCTCCTTATTTTCACCATTTTGGATTCGCCCAACCTACTGGAGACCGGCTGGAGACAGGAAGATTGGAGAGCGTCCACGTTAATCAACGTCCGGTGGTTTACTGAATATAATATTTGTGTTTAATTGCCATAGTTGATCAACACTTTCTTTGGTTGATTACAGCTTTAGTTTTAAGTAATTCTCCTGGTCTGAAGGGTCGATTTTACTGTTTTCAAACATCCTGGAAATAGTTTTGAAAATATGAAGGTTCCTAATAGCTGAGTCGACAAACAGTTAGACTGAGTCAGCA